CATTGTTGCCAATTATCTTCATAAACCCCATATGCAATATAATAAAAAAAAAACGGATACAGAAGAGGAATACAACCCTCTATAAATGAATGTAGCAAGTTATATATTGTTTGATAGGGGGAATTAGAATTAATGAAAGAAGAAAGAGCTAAGGCTGAAAGATTGATTAAAGAAATGGAAGGAGAACAACAATTACGATTAGAACAGATGAAAAAAGAGGCACAGAAACATGTTGAGGTAAAACTTATTCTTTTTCCCTGTCAGGAGCTGATTTCATCCTGTCCACATATGCCTTGAACATAAGATCCTTCAATAGGACAGTTGGTTTGAAAATCAACTAGCCTAATCCAATCTCATCCTAGAGCCGACTGAGTTGTACCAGACTCTCATTTGAGGTTTAAAGAATATGAAAGCTTCACAATGAAATTTGTCTGTTGTATTTTAGGAAAGAGAAAAAGGGTTACAAAATGAAGTTGAAAATTTACGTAAACAACTTGAATATCAATCTTCATTATTACATAGTAATCAACTAACAGTTCAACAGTTACAGGTAAGTTCAAGCTTGTTCCTCTGACACTCTGACATAGTATTGTAATCTTTTCCACATTGAATAACCAAACACTTAACTATATGAATATTAAAAACATTAGATCCAACAGTTAATACACAGTAATAGAAGTAACAATAGTTTTTTTCCGTGGCCTAAATGAGACCAGTAGATCTAGACAAATATCTCAATATAGGTCATTATAGAGAATCTATGTTGGACCATCACAATTAGTTAAAAAATGAATGATGGACCAACTGCAGGTACAGTGATGTAAATGCTTTGGACACTGAAAGCTTTGGCATAGACAACAGAATCTTTTCCTTTTTAAAGTATACATTATCTTATTTTTCAGGAACAATTGAACCGATTACAAAGTGATGCTAGTAGTAATACCAGTACACCTCGAAATAGTGATGCTACATCATCACTCTCTCACAAAAGTAGTAAAGTTTGCTCCCTCCAGTAGTTTACCTTATACCTAGTTATGTACAACATCATTCAATGTAAACATTAGTCATTATTAATTTGACATCCACACTGTATTTCATTATCATTGTCATCGTTATGTATATCATACTCGTATCATAACATATTTATTATAATTGATCATTATCATCATATTCATCAAAATGATCATGGTGTTCTTATATCATCATATCATTATAAATCATAGTGGCCATTATCATATGATCATCATGGTCATCTTTATCATCCTACCATTAAATAGCATTCCATTATCATTGTATTTGATAATATTGTCGTCATCTTAATCATCATAATCATTCTCATCATAATATGATCATTTTCATAATTATAGATTATTATGAGAAGGTTGACAAATGCAGCTTTGCAGAATAATAGTGCTAGCTTTAATGCCCGGTATACGAGAGGCGAACTGTACAATGTATAGGTCATTGGTTTGCTGTTTTTTTGAGATTATTTATTAAATGCACTAAATTTTCACGATGTTTTTGGTATTTTATATTTTGTTCATTTGTGAATTTGTGAATATATTTCATTCCGTTTCTGATGAAATCGTGTATATTATTGTGATCTGAATGGAATTATTCGGCAGTTGATCTTTATCTAGATTATACGTCCATGTTATGACCCAAACATCTGCTCTATTCCAGCCTCTGATATATATTTTGAAAGTTGGCTGGTGTAGAGCCGATAACTGTCAAAATATCAGAAATTGGAATAGAGCTAGATGTTTCGGACTTTTTAACTACTGTCCAGAAAAGTCTATCTGACCGTCCGCATTTCCTTTTGAACATTACGGAGATCACAGGGTTTATCAGAATGTGATTAAATTTATTTATGTTATGTATTATCATCAAGATGTGATCTCCAGGGAATATTTTTTATATATAAATAGTGTTTGAATTATTGCCAATCAAAAAGGGTATACACACATACTAATTTGAAAATTTTTCAAAAGGTTTCAAGTTCTGCTGGTTAAGGTTATATCTATGGATTGCCACTCGTTGTATATTTTGTTATAAATGATAGAAGTTTTTATTTTTATACACTCTTTATTATGTTGAATTCCAAGTGCAATTTATAATTTTTATAACACTGTATTAAATCTATTGTGTATTGAAACTGCAATAAAGCATAGTAAACTTACTTTTGTTACTTTTTCATAATCAATTCCTTGCAACTATTTTTTTGAAGGCAAGTGTTTATTTGATTGTTCGGTTGTTTGATATATAAAATTATATTTTATCAACCCAAATTTCTTGTCAGAATGAAAAGGCGACACAGAGGTAAACTGAATAAAGCATTACAGAGTTAATCTTTAGAAGGCATATTAGAAGCACGGGTTGTAGATAAATAAGAAAATTATTATTGATGGTATCCACCCATAATAATTGACTTATTTATCATTACAGAGTTGACGTTCAAGATTGCAATGGCAGTAACAGATATCGCTAAATAAATGCACTGTAGAATTATACCTTATGCAAATAAGGTTTGTCCGCTTTGATAAAATCTATTAGTTGTCTGATTTTATTTTCTCCGAATGTTTTTTTCGAAAGAACGCTTTCTCTGTGATCAATCTATTTACATCGCACTTCATTGCCGATTTTCATCAAGAACACCTTTGACTTAAAAAAGATTTCAATATCAACGGTCACTAACCTAAAGTTTAACACTTAAAGAGCACAGTCAAATACATCTTCATTTCCCATAAAACACATCTTTAGCAAGATAAAATTTTAATTCTTCACTAAAATTCCTATAAAAATTGTGATATATGACTCTTTACCTTCATTTTGTTGTATTTTTATTTACTCTTACTAATATTGTATTGCCTGGAAAATATCACCATTAAACATTTTAATTCTAAAGCAAATACAAATTCATCATATCTTATTAGTTACAGCGAATATTAGTCACTTTTATCATTTTAATCGTGATCAATAAATCACTTAAAGAAAAGTAGTCATCTAAGCACCGCTTTATTGACTGAAAGAGCACAAGTTCAGCTAGGCAAATCACTTTTCAGAATTACCATCTGACGTGAAAATTTCATGCATTTCATCTAAGACGCACGGTTCTTCCACGATTTTTTTATTATGCCAGAGAGTGACTTAATACACTTTAACGGTAGTTTGTGTTAAAGATAATGGTCCGTAGGCTGGAGGGTCTCACCTGGCATCACACCCACCACCGACCAAAAACCAAAATATACTCTTTCAGATCATTCATAACAATGGATAAACTGGGACTCACATGAATACACATCAAAGATAGGAACTGGGGTATAAAATTGAAACATCAAGTTTTGAGACTTATGAATGAAAAATATGCAATTTTTTTTTATAATACAAATTTATAACGGATTTCAAATTTGAAAAGAAGTTATGATAAGGTAAAGTTTTGCTTTATCTTTCCGTGAACAATTTTTATCTGTTTTATGAATCTGCCAGCTTCAATATGACAGATTCATGCATTAACGCTATAACCATCAATTTCAATTACAATTGATTGCAATTATGTTTGTATGTTCTACAGACGTTTGTTATCTTGTCTTGCAAGGTAGGTCATAAGCCATTCTAATGATCATAACCAACAAAGATAACATAGCGTCCATATTATATGATTTATGATGGGTACTATTAAAAATATTTGTATAAAATGAGTGGAGCCGACCCAAAATCATGTTACAATACTAGGTGGCAAGATGGTAAGTTTAAAATCTTTTGTTTTGTGTTATGCTAATGCGGTAAGCAGAATTTTCAAAGGTTGAAGTAATTTCAAAGGAATACGTTACAACTAAACCTTAGTGCTGAATTTAGAATTAAAAAAAATCAATTTGAATTGAAACTTTTAATTCTTATTGCGAGGGTTTCTGTACAATAACCTGCAAAGATGGAATTTCCAAAGATTTGACTTTATTTAAAATAGTCCGGGATGTGTGGAATTTAAAATCACTCAAGAAGTGTTGCTGAAAAGTCGCCCTCGGAGTAACTAATCGCAGCAGATTTAGATTTTAATAAATCAACTTATGGTGGGCCTTGGCTAAACCACGATGTAGAAGAATTTGCATAATCACAAAAATTTCATCAAAATAGTTAAAACCCTTTACATTGTTTGTAGGGTTATTTTCAACACAGTTTTATATTGGGTATTTCTGTAATTTCAATAACATCATTGTTGGTAACAGGTAAGTTTAAATCAGTCATCGTAATATACAAACTTTAGAGAAATTATATGTCGTTTTGCTAGAGGTAGCTTAAAGCAATATCAGTACATATTTAAATAATATCCCCTTGAAAAGTAAGGTAGTCAAAGTACAAAGTAGCCAATTATTGATACAAATAGGGAATATTCAAAAGATGAAAAGACGGATAACATAATTGTTAATATTTCAGCTAATGATTATAAAGTTGTATGTTACCATACCAACTGGTCTAAATATCGGGCTTCCCCAGCAACGTTTAATATACAAAATATAGACCCATTCCTCTGTACTCATCTTATCTATGCCTTTGCTGTTTTTGACTCAAATGGTAATTTAGAACCGAACGAAGGCAGTACAGAATACACAAGGTATATATATTAAATTGAAAAGAAAGAAACCACTTGTTTTCAAGGATCCTTTCTACCAGCCGGTCTTTGTCCAAATCACTTGGCATTTATCTTTCCTGGATAACCCCATTCCCATTTCTAGCTGGGTCTGGAATTTCATACCAAAAGACTATTTGGAAAGATGTATATGGAACCTCAAATACAGACTAGAAACCCCACTCGTCTAAGCAGGCAAAAACATAATCTTCCATAGAGAAGAATTATCAAATATTCAGCTTTTCACGATTCTTAAAATTTCTTTTGAATTCTATTTAGATATCAGGAATTCAATGCTTTAAAGCAGCAGAATCCGAAATTAAAAACCATGTTGGCAGTAGGTGGTTGGACATTTGGAAGTGTTGCTTTCTCTAATATGGCTAACAGTGTATCGCAACGGTCTACATTTGTAAACAGTGCTGTAACTCTACTACGAGATTATGGTTTTGATGGTTTAGATTTAGATTGGGAGTACCCAGCTCAGAGAGGTGGACTCAGCTATGATAAACACAACTTGGTAACATTATCACAGGTATGTACAATGGAGCCGCGTTTATCTGGTTGTCGATAATCGGGAAACACCGATATCCAAACGGTTTTTAATGGGAACAGAATATTTACAATGTTATATTATCAGGTGATCAAATTCTATAGTAATCAGTAGTCGATATAATGCAATTTACAACAGAACAGGCTATATATCTGGTTCTCGAACTGTATCACATTTTAACCTCTGAGATACCAGTAAACTTTGAAGGTCCCCTAAGAAACATTTTTATATAGGAATCCGAAAGAGAGTGTTTGTGTCAACAATAAATGACTTTTAGACCTAATCTTGACTAGCGGGTTGTGCATTTTCAGAATCACTCATTAAACCTAAAATTCGTCCAAATCCATTCTTGGTCTTATTACCCAGATATCACCAGATGAAAGTTATCGCTGAAAATCAAGTCGCATTCACATTTTGCTCTTCGCAATGTCTTAAGTCCCTTTTCATCTTAAATGTACCTTCAAGAATTACACGATGCTTTTGTTGCCGAATCAATTGTGTCTGGCAAAAGTCGACTATTGCTCTCAGCTGCAGTTCCTATTGGAAAGGAAAAAGTTGAACAGGGTTATGATGTTCCTAACTTAGATAAGTATGTTTCATCTGTCACCTCATCTAAGATCTGTCACCATCATTCTAAGTCTGTCGTTTTGCTGTTTTACTGTGTAGAAATGTGGAAATATATCAAATTTTACTACAATGAGCCAAAATAAATTTTCGTTATTCAGTCCATTATGCTCATTCTAATATAATGTTGCCGTTTTTTTTAGATATTTGGATTTTTACAACATCATGGCCTATGATTTTCATGGTGGTTGGGATGGTGTTACAGGTCATAACAGTCCACTGTATGCTAGTAGTCAAGACTTTGGTGATGATCTTTTCCTCAATGTGGTATGGGTTTATTCTGTTCTAAAATTGCCAAATACTTGGTTTCGTATCTGGACATCTGAATATAAAGAATCATAAAATCTCTTACAAATAGTGGGTTAGTCAAAGTGAGATTTTTTGAGATTTTCGAAGGGCCAATGTTTTTCAGAAAAGGAAACTATCCATTAGCTTACATTACATGACCTGATACAGAATATCCAGATGATCGACGGTATTTTGAATCATTCCAAGATGGCCATGTTTGATATTATATCATGTGATACTGGTAATGTCATTCATGTTTTTTGCCTCTTTATAGAATTACTCTGTTAACTATTGGCGTACCTCTGGTGCCTCTATAGGGAAACTTATTGTTGGCTTGCCTGCGTATGGTAGAACTTTTACATTATCATCATCAAGTAACTATGGTGTTGGCGCACCTGCTAGTACAGGACCTGCTGGGACTTATACACGTGAAGCTGGATTCTTTTCTTATTATGAGGTAAGATGGCAATATATTAACCTTTAATACAAAAGAATTATACATGGAATTTAATTATTTGTGTATACACATATTGACAGCATTATTTAATCGAATCAATATTTCGGGGTCATCCCATATAAATATATAATCTACCTTTGAAGGATTCCTCTCGAAAAAGCAAATTGAATTGTTCAACTCTGCAGTAAATACCCAATATGCTTATTTTAGTAATACAAGTTTGTTGGTTAAATGTACCAAAACAAGTATTAACCAATTATATGTTGAATAATGCATCATAATATACACAGAGGAATATATAGAGATGTAGATCTCTCACTGCCACGCACAAGAACACCACCAATGATATAATAATATGAAGCTAAAAGTGTGCATAATACTGACTCATACAAAGCAATCATTATTTCTCTATTTCACATTCCAGATTTGTAGTGAAATTAAAAGAAGTGCTGGTATAAGAGTAGTTGATGACTATATGAAAACACCGTATTTTGTGAAAGATAATGTATGGATTGGTTATGATGACATACCAACTTTTCAATTAAAGGTACAGAAACGATTTTAGGTTACCTTTTTGTTCGAAAAGTCTGATGTAAGATTTTAAACCCACATTATTCCCGATTTCTTTATCTTCTTTTCATGAATAATTATTTTTCTGATAGTGGATTGTTATTTCGTATTTTTCAGGCTAATTTTATCAAGGACAACCAGTTTGGTGGTATGATGGTTTGGTCTCTGGCCCTAGATGATTTTAATAACGTTTGTGGAACCGGAGAATATCCCTTGATTAAAGCTGCGTCCCAAACTCTGAACACACCATCTGGTGTAGGAACAACCCAATCCAACAACCAGCCTGATACCAACACCAACCAACCAACCACCTCTAAACCAACAACTTCTGTTGTCGCTAATATACCTACTACTGCTAAGCCAAGTGCAGATTCATCTGAAGGTATAGATCTGCTTTTATCTTTCCTGTGGCTTGCAGCTATTCTACTCAGAACTAATGAATAGACTTAATGAATAATCAAGGCTGGTTATTTGACTCATTTTATGCTTCTGGTCTTCGTATAAATTCATTCGTTTATGTCTGAGAGAGGAGTGCAATATTTAGTTTTAGGGTATTTTAGGAATAATTTCTTGCGGAACGTTCGAGAACGATTTTGTTTTAAGATGAAATATATATAGGCTTATATAATTATTTTGGAATACATTTACATACAGTTTTTAACAACAAGTGGACACATTCTGACATCAAGGTCATGAATATCTCTGAAATGGGTTTATTATTTATTTCAGCTTTCAGCTGTAGTGGTAAGACAGATGGTAGTTATAGAGATCCTAAAGAGTGTTCAGGATTCTATACTTGTAGTAACGGGATTGAGCATAAACAGACCTGTGCCCATGGCTTACACTTTGATACGAAATCTGCCATTTGTAACTGGGCAAACCAAGTCGATTGCTAAAATTCATTTTGTTAAAAGGACTGATGATAGCAATGATTTTATAATTGTAATTTTTGTATTTCATTATTCAATCATTATTTGTTAAATAGGAATACTATATTATATAGAAATAAATTTCAGCATGTATATCTTTTTGTATTTTGATCATGGTCTTAAATTCTTGCCCCTCCCCCTCCCACCGGAGGTACGGCCTCACCATAGAGATATAAAAAAAACTATGTCATATCTTGGTAGAATGGTTCACTGTCATATAAACACAAATATTTTAAGCACAAGTCAGTTGGACACGGTACTTTAGGCACAGTGTTATTTAGGCACATCTAACATAAAACTATTGCATTTAACTATAAGAATATAATATTCATACAAAAATAATATGGTTCACAAAGCAAACAATACATTATAAGTTTTTCCTATTAACAATGATGTGTAATGGACAAGTCTTTGTATGGCACCAGTTTGATGACAATGATGACTATTGGTTGTAAAGAAACTGTTTTCAAAGTCTCTTGATTCTCCGATTCTGTAAAGGCAACTTGTAAATGACTCCTGAGTAAACACTATAGACGATAGCGTAATCATGATAATGTATTTGAAATTACAATGATCATGCTTTGAGCTTCATGAAGGGATGTTATGAACAAATCCCGTATACAAAGTATATGATAGTAAACATATGATAGACGTCAGCTTATGGTGCTTCACAAGATCAAGTAAAATAACCACCTGAAGCTATTGTTCGATCGAGGTTAAAGCGTTTGATTGATAGGGCCTTTCGGCTATTTAATTCATGGGCTTCGTCAGACACAGATATACGATTAGTGCTCATGTCGAAAAATTGTCCATCTACTAGCAAAAGAAGAGCGACTGACGGCATCTGTTGTTGCGAAGGTTGACGGTATTTACAGTCCACCTTATATTTTAATGACATTTTTTTCATACTGAAGTTAACGTTATTTTAACTGTTGGTGTTTCTTATATAAAGCTTCAATTTCATTGACAAATTTCGTGCGTAATTTAGGTCGGACATTTTTGAAGGTTGGTGTTAACAATCCATTTTCCACACTAAATGGTTCAGTATTTATATAAATATCTTTAACCTGAAATATATCAAATGGGGAAATTTACTATATTACTAGTAAGCAGGTAACACATCTGACATGTAGTGATACGATTATTATTTCATGCACTGTCGACAGAACATGAAAACGGTGAGAATATTCTATCTCTTATCTGTTTATCTGGGGGGTGCAGGCGCAAGTCACTATGTCAGTAGGCTAGGTATTAACTATCATTGGTGTCCATGGTACAATAAAAATCATCAGAAATACATTACAATATAGACGTTTATTTGTAGTTTATGTGTTATATGACAAAACTGTCTTTCTACACTAAACAAATTTCTTATTCTGTTACTATTGCCTCATAACATTACGGCATACCTGTTCAAATCCCTTCAGCCCACTCTGTTTTCCAACATTTAACATATCTTTTAGGACTAGATCTTTGGTTTTCTACAATGAAATGAGTCGCATTTCTTCATATAATGTTGTTTTTTTACCAAGACGATTAGTAGTATGCACAATTGATCCAATGGCGTATTTAGTCGGTAATATTTGGGAAAAGTCTCATTTTGAAGTGCAAATTAAGCCCTCTAAATGCTAAAAATTCACCTCAGGCCATCTGAAATCCATTGGTTTCTGGGGCCTCAGATCTCATTTTGCACCCTCCGAGCCATTTTCTAGATGCGCCCCTATTAAAATCGTTTAGTAGTTTAACAAAGAATCGTTTACATTATATTATTTGGTAATTATTTCTTGTATCAAGAATTGAGCGATAGTTTGAACAGGAGTCTTATGGTAGCAAGAACCACTTATCGTTGTAGTTTGGCCATGTCAAAGTGAATCATGCATGAGTCGTAAAATTTGGATATAGTTGTGCACCTAAAATCATTGTTTTGGTAACCAAGATTACTTAAACCTGGAAATGGAAAATCAAAAGTTACCTGTGATCGACATAATTCCTGGATATCAGTAGGTAAATTATATACTGGTATTTTACTTTCCATTACTTCCATATCTAATGTTACTACTGCCATACAATAAGCCTAATAAATAAAAAGAAGTGTTTAATAAATGCAAGTCGATCACGAAATCGAAAGTTCTATAATATTACCGTCACTAGCTTTAACTGAGTAATATTCAATTATGAGTATATTCCTGGATCGAGAGCCAATTTTTCTCATACTTCCTACTAATATTGATATAGTTACTAAATAAATACTATCTCCAAAAAATATCTTTGTCTATGCTATAGATAAAATTGTGTATAAATTCATCATTTGCTTACCTGTAAACTATTACCATCGACGTATATCTGTGCTACATATTGACTTCTAGAATAGGCATTCTCAATCTTCTCAGGTGCTACATATTCTCCCTGAAATATTGTATCTAACACCTATGTATAGCCTGCATGTTCATGAAAATGACAAATCTTAGATTGAATGTAAAAAAATTCTCATATTATGCTTAAATTCGTATGAAAAAGGCATTGTAGTTGCATTGTGCTATTTCCTTACCGGTCGTCTTATAATTTCAATGAAACTTGACCAGAATAGTGTGTCATTCGGCTCTAGTAAAGTCTCTTTAAATCCCTCTAAATAATTTACCTGAGCAAGCTTGAAAATATGTTTCTTTCTGTCTATTATCTTTAGTTGACCTTTCTGAAAATAATAAAGCAATAAACACAAAAATATCGCTGCTGTGACAGGTTATAATCACTCTTTACGATCACACTAGTGTGCGACTGGGTTTTTCAATTCCAACTTTCTAGTAGCATAATATATAGTGTAACGTTATTTAGTAATTTTTGATATCGCATTCTTTCGTAATCCCAAATCATAAAACATCATGTAATGTAGTGTTATGAACTCACTGATAACTGATAACGATGAGCTCATCCAAACGACTAGAACCTATCCCATTTTTCCTCGACCTGCATCAAGAACAGGCAGAATTCGGGTTAAAGAAATCCAATCGTACCATCGAGACAGACATAAAAGGTGAAGTTATTATACTAACCGGTAACCACATACCAATATCACCAGTATGTAACCATCCTGAAGGTTCTAAGACTTCAGCTGTCTTCTCAGGATTCTTGTAATACCCTTGAAAAACACTTAAGCCTTTGACACAAATCTGAAAAATCAAAATCAACTATCTAATGTTGTATCTTATTATTGACATGGTCTTATCATTGCCGAAACTGAGACCAATGACTCCCATGTTGTAAATGGGATCGTGAAATTCCAGCACTCAAGTTTGCCATTCATGGATGTTAATGTTAATTAAGCGTTATTTTTCAGGAACACACATTAATATACATTAAAAAAACTAATCTGTCACATTCTAATGACTATTTTATTCTCGGGTTGATAGAAGAAAATTGGCTATAACTTACTTCCCCTTGGTCGTTGGCGGCAAAATAACCCATTTCCGGGACATCTTTTAATTTGATAGAGTTACAAAGAGTCGGAGCTCCAACATGACCTACATAGATACAGAAATACTGTTAATTCTTCTGTTAATTCAATGGCAGTTTTACTAGTAGTCGTAATGGGGCCTAAATTACTTCCCACCTCAAAAGAAAAGAAGGGGAAAAAATATTGTATTCACCTGGAGTAATGTCCCCTGGTAAGGTACAAGTTACAGCTGCTGTTGCCTCAGTTTGACCATATGCTTCAAATACCTACAAAATAACCAGTAATGATTACACCCAGCAACTCTCTGCAGTTTCCATGAAGCTGAATTTGTAGCTTTAGAGCGCAGTGGCTCAACTAGATGAGTGGGGGCAAGTGGAGTTAAGTGAGTGGCCCCTGCCCAGAGAATTTTTATATATAAATATTTAATATAATACATCTAACATTCTGAGATCCCTCTGTGGGCCTAAGTAAATTGAATGTCTGTTAATGGAAGATTTAAAGAGTTTCAGTCTATAGTTAATGATATTTCACTCATTATTATATTTTGTATATTTTTTCTTGGGGTGGGGACCCCTAAGGAAGCTGTTTGTAATGACAACCTAATTAAAACGTGTACCCTGATGCAAAATGCGATGCGAATACGCATTGTTCATTGAGCAAACTTTTGATGTTGGACTTCAGGAGTAAAATACTTACCATACACCCAAATACCGCTCTAGTAAATGTCATCACATGATCTGATAGAGGTGCTGATGCAGTAACTAGGAGTTTTATATTTCCACCAGTTAATTTTCTTATTTTATTAAAAACTAAATAATCCCATATACTATTAGCTCTAACCACGCCCCTGAAATGATTCATAATGAAATGAAATAATTACTGATATGAAATAATCGGCACGTTCTTACAGATAAATATCGAATAATCTTATTCTTACGAATATTCACAAATACATTAAGTATAAGATGCAAACGTCTAAAATATATTTATAAAGGATGAATCTAAATCACTTTCTACAATGAAAACTGAACGCCCAAAAAAGGTACCAACAAAATGAAAATCAGCTATTTACTTCCTTTCTTTCCGATATTATTTATGTTTGAGAAGATTCAGACGAAACTCTCGACCCTTGCTTACGCCTCTGAAAAATTAAAGCTTATAAATTAGACATCAATAAAAGACAAATATACCTTCTAACTTCTGCCGTCTTTCTATTTAAAGCTAAACTAAGTAAAATACTTTTAAAGGAATAACCCTGGCAATTGGCAATTATTTTATCATAGAATCTATTCAATAATCTTGGCACAGTAGGAAATATTGTAGGTTGTAATTCTTTAATGTCGTCGAACAGTTGTTTTACATCGCCACCATAGAATCCCACGTGATAACCGTGCATAAATGCGTTGATCTGAAAAAAAGTTAATTTGAATTATCAATCATGAAACGTCCAGAGGCCAACACTATGTTATATTCAAATTTTGCATAGTTTGCATGCACTAAATCACACGATGCGAACAATTTCATCAAGTATGGCAATGTTGCGATCCATCTAAACAATTCCAAACTATTAAGTATTGCGTCTTATACCATCATTCTTACATGCGCAACGAAATTGTTAACAGCCTTTCTTTTAGGAGCACCGATTTGCTGTATTTGGAAGCGTACAATCCAATCAAATCGCTTTATATAATATAAAAGGTATAAGACGAAGTTGGTAACAGCTTGACATAGTGAATATGATCTCAACAATTCAATCTTCCATGTTCAAGTCCTTACCTGCATTGCTCTTTCAAACATATGTGATAATGGTAAATATGATATATGACAATCATTCGTTCCAAAGGTATAATTTGTCTGGAAATAAAAATGAAATACATATTATATTAAGTACAGTATTAAGCTAGGTGTTAAATATTCTGTAAACAACATTATGGTATTTGTACTGAATAACTCAAAATGCAACAATCACAATGTGTTGGTTCCATTACATAAAAGATGAATTTTTTATCTGGCATATACTTTTAACTCTTCCATGGGAAATCATTTTGCTCCTACGCATGTGATTTTTGAAATTTTCGATATATTCTCATTGATATGTTTTGATATAGTTTGCATACCTACCATAACTAATGAAAATATTCCACTAATATGTGAAATTAAGTTTCTATGTGTTAACATCACTCCCTTAGGATCACCTGAAAATGATAATATAAAATTTAAAAAAAGTATAACTAAAACCATATTCATAACGTTCCAGTACACTGTTAGATACCCTTATCTCTTTTCAGAATTGGGTTCATCTTCATAGAAAGTACCACAAAATCCAGATAAGACGTTCCAATGTGAGAAAAAAACACTTATCGTCACCTATACGTTGCCTTGTAAAACAATATTCATTCTGAGTTGTTAGTATTATTCTGCGGCATTGAAAAGTATGAAGCGACAATGCCACAATGTCATTTTATAGGCAGTGGAACGTTGACATATTCTTATACATATAATAACCCTTTTTAAGATGCTCTGTTGGTTGATGTGGGGTAGGGTAGAGTGTTGTTGTATTCTGGTAAAATAGTTCTTACCTGTAGTTCCACTAGTAAATGATATAGTAGTTAAATCATCGGGTGAAGGTGGCTACAAAGGAAAAATAATGATATTTACCAATAAAGACCTATGATTATGAATGTATCCGAAAAATTTATTACTCCTTTGTAGATTAAATATGCGATTCCACAGCACAAACTTAGAGAATGTGCACAAAAGTGCGTTATGAATAAATATAATTAGACATTAAAGATGACAGTTAAAGTTATTTTAAAGATGTTATAAATACTTACAACAGGATTTTGCAAATCTTTTGAACCAAGAAGCTGAAATACAATATTTGTACTTCATTCATACTTTGTTAAATACCATCTTCACAATGCCAAGCTATTACGAACTTATGTTTCACTGCAATAGCAAGACCTTCTATCATGGACTCAATCCAATAATATCATATCTATTGCACTCAAGTTGTAAGTTAAAAAGCTTGAAATTGTTAAGACCGTCAATAAATTTAATGAAAATTTTATAGGGTAAATATTTCGTCACTATTTAGAATACCTCCCCAAAATTGAGGGCAATTGGTTTTGTATCCAAACTTGAAGAAATCTAACCTCAACATCCTGATACGTGTAGAGACCAATATCTCGACTTTTAGCCAAATCTAAATTATTATTTGATATCTCTTCCATTAATATAATACGTTTTAAACTAGGTAGTTGATCAATTTGATCTAACAAGGACTGGACCTTCTTAGCTGTATCACAAATAACTGTCTCCATTTCAGCTAAAATGACAATTACCTTTAAGTATAAAATTACTCAATCATAGAACAAGATTACGTGTAAATTAACGTTTAGTCGATGGCTCTAGTTGGCTATATTTGCTAGAGTACAGTCCAATCAAATCGCTACATTCCATGATACAAAAAATGTGACTATTGTAATAGATTGACATTGTCGAAATGCTTACAATCCTGCAATAGGATTTTCAATGGGCATCAAGAAATACTCAAAGTAATGTTTTTATATATTATCAGCATACCTTTCAATAGAAGAGTCAGAAATTTCATTAGAAATTTTGAATTTTGAATTGACTTGTGTTCAAGTTTTGTTGCAGACATACCCACAATAATCGATGTCTAAGTAATCTGTATTTAATTTTATTTTCAAAGCGCGGACGTCAGAGTGATCGCTTAGTTCAATGTAGATGTATACATTACTGTTTAAAGTATGAGAAAAACTTACTAAGATTAATGATATATTTACAGGCATCGGGTCCCAGTGTGTCATATAATGCTACTATCACCATACTATACATATTGCACGCTTGTTCAGATGTCACCCACTATAGGAAGAACAAAATGTAGTATTTGATTAGTATGACTTGTTCTATCATTAAATTCGCTCACACGTTTTGACATTATAAAGAATCTTGCAGTTATGGAAGAAAACATATATTCATATCCAGTTTTGCTATTTTTGGGTTGTGGATGGTCTCTTCATGGTGATTGTTTCGTAACTTCCCCTTCTCCTAAATGAAAGATATCTGTCAATCTAGACAATACAGAATAGTTCATGACAGATTTTGACGTGATATAGAGAATCCCTATATTCCAACAAAATCATTAAAATGTTGGCATAATTTCAAAACAAATTCTGTATATTCTAGCTCTGTGAAGGGCAATAAATTGGACTCATAAATAGGCCCAATGTCATCAATATACAAGAATAACATGTTTCAAATCCTGATAAATAAAGATTGTAATCAGAATATAGAGTCAATACAAAGAACTGGATGAAATGATTTATAACGCTCTAATCTGGCTGCCGTTGAGGAGAGGGAATGCTCATTGTGTCCCATTTTCGCACAAATACAGCAATATAGGATATAGCTAAGGGCGCACCTCTACATTTAAATCGAATTAAGTTGTTGAAGGGCTTACTTTTGAGTTTGTCTACACTTAATCTATTTCGAGAGAGTCTGTACATTTATATACACAATCTAAAAAGAAATTATTTTACCTCGACTCTGTTGGCTGTATAAATTCCTACCATTGTTTGTGGTCCAGGGCTCAAACCTAATTTGATTAATCCAGATCCAAATGCATGGGCCCGATCTTGTACCTATACAAATATCAATGTACATGCATTAATTCTGCTATTCTTGCTTGTTACAGCCGACGTGAAAGACTTATGCATATATCCAAATGTTTGATATAAGTGATATATTCAGTTTGACGTTTTTGGCGTTTTTTTTAATTGTATCTAAATTTGAAGGATACCGTAAATAATAAGATCATATAATTTAATTTCAATTATTGCTCTCAACACAAAACACCAAAACACCAAAACATAATATTATCAAACAACTAAACAGAGAATCAGCTAAAGGTGAATGAAATAATATATGTTTTTACCTGCTGATAAGTTACCCATCCGTAACACTCTCCTTTCCCCTTTCTAGTTCCTAAACACTTTTCATGACCTAAAAAACAAAACAATCAAATCTTCAAATGTAATACAAAAGATCACAATAAAGTTCCAAACGAATTAACATAATGAATATGTTATAAGATAAGTGGAAACTAAACGAAGCAAGCTATGTCAGAATTAAAGGGATAGACTCGCTATATTCTGTGGTTGATATGGATCTTGAATATATGTAAATAGTCTTCTTCAGAGCTACTAGAATTTAACGAAAATCGCATAATTCCTTGAAAATACCTCAAAATAGGAATAAGCATTTTGTGCATAAGGCAGGGTCTCAAGAAAAGACGAGTCACGTTTTAACTTTCAAACTCGGATAATTCTGGACACACATGGAATTGAGGGCTCATATTTCGACATGGACTGTGAACACTATTACTGATTAGCTTAGCTAAAGAAATCCCATTCCTGAGACTAAATTATGATTAGTTAAATGGATGGCGAATCTGCTATGATATAAAATATAGAAATACATAACTAATACTTCGAAACGGGAATGGTTTATTATGTTACATCTTACGTGATATCTTGAGACCTCGTTGAAAACATTCGTACAGGGTTTGTACATCTTCAAACAGATACCCCATATAATCATTATCTTTATACTTGGGTATAGTTCGACCACCATGCTGAAAGTATAGTTAAGATTCATGTATTCAGGTATAACAAGTTATTAATCGCTGATGGCACGAGTCTGGGACTATTAAACTCCCTATCATTGACCCAAATATTTCCTTATCCGATTTTCTTACCTCTCTATTCTAATCAATTTGATTGTTATTGGGTTTAAATTTATTGGAACAAAATAATGCCTCATTTTTGACTTATTGGTAACCCAGACGTTAAACTTGGGTCAAATGCAGTACAGGCGTAATCAGCTCAAATCAACAAGTCAAAAGTCCAAAAGATAAATGTACATGTACATCAAAACTGTACAACACCATATAGCACTATCATACACACTTTTGTACTGTGCATGTCTCTCATTCCATAATTAGTTTAATGTTCTGAAAGCCTTGTGTGTACCAAATGCGCTACCTCCTGATACATAATAACTTAGTGCAAGTACATCATTGTACTATTAACATTTAACGTAACTTCAAAAACACATTACAGTTGCATGCAAATGCACCACAAAGTTATGATTCCACTGTGCAATAATAAAATAGTTTCATTGACTCCAATTACCTTTGATTCCACAGACTGGCAGTTGATATCTAAGACAGGTTTCGGTATTTTAGGATCCAATGAAAGATAATAAGCTAAAGCAGTAGCTGCTCCTACGCCAAGGGTACTTAAACCAACATTAGCCTGAATGGTTGTTAAGAGGTCCTTGGTAGTTTCTACCAGTTCATTTAAACTTGTACCCATTGAACTGCAAAATAAATCATATTAGATTCAAACCTGAAATAGATTTGTTTTATGAAATACTCTTTTGCTGTATCCACTCTACGCATAAATTGCTGATTACATGCCAGTTCATTTGAGTATCGGCCAATATAGTAGACTTTTAACTCCTCTCTTTTTACATCCACAATCACAATATTAATAAAATTTTAATATTATCATCCAATAATCAATACCATTACCTTATCAAGACACGATGCCTATAAGATATAGTTAAAGCTCAAAATAAAATATTTTAAAAAGAGAATTCTCAATGTAGTGTGGACAAAACAAATTTGTTGATTTAGGAAACTGTCTGAGCCATTATGTTGTTTCTAACCACAATGGGCTCTTGAAACGTAGTAAACCTACATCATGATACATGGAACAATGGCCTTGTACATTGCATAGAGATTATCGATGGTATCTTTTAATAGTTGAATGAAGGTCATCCACCGACTGATAACAAATTCATTTTTTTTCTTTAGTTAGTTGATATTACTATCTTATAATGAAGAAAAATTACGAAACAATATAATAGTTCAGAGTTTTTTTAGTTTTTTTTTATGTGTACCAGGGACTGACAGCATCAATTTGCACCATTGCAATTTTCAATCATACTTCTGTGGTTCGTTCGAAAAGGGTCTTAAGTGATTAAGCATATTTTGCGATTAATGATGTCATAAAGCACCTAGTTTTAGTTGAATTACAGGAACCACAAACGTCTGATGGAAAATTGGTATGGTGCAAATTGATGCTATCAATGTCACTGATACACTGAAAAAATCTTAACAATCCCTTTAAAATAATAGACTCTGTTCCGAGTCCTTGGTTATATTGATTCGTATGATTTGTAAATAAATACAGAAATGAAATGTAATAATAGACCTGTCTGGTTTCAGTGTTTTATCAACTCATGTCGGTCAGTTATTGTAAGAAAAATTATAGACTTTTTTTAAGTTTATTTTAAAGCTTGTCATGGGTGCAGTCGTACTGAACATAAAATATTACCAAAGATTATAATCGACGACAATTTTAGCGGTTTCCCTTCTCATAAATATACCACTCAACCATTGTGCGTTCAATAATGTGGGTTTTGGAAAAAAAAAACTTCATATCAGTATTCATCTGTGTTGCAAAATTGTATCTACGAATTGTCCATAGAAAAGATTCTTACCTTAGTTCTTGTCGTTAAACTTGTGGTTAGTTTATATGAGACTATCTAGTATTTATTAATTATCATGTGATATTTACTACAGGTATGGTAATATAGTTTATTAGCCTATCAATAGGCTATGTTACATTGCGGCTATTTCACAATCGTCATAATATAACAGACTATAACATAAGACCGTCATTAATAGATCATTGCTATTTTAAAGGTACTGGATAGAGTTATGACAGCCGTAATTTGAATTTTTCAGTGGCTCAATTAGATGAGCATACCCTAATTACATATTATTGCCGGCTTGGTAGGGCTCCAGCATAACTTGTAAGCCATTTTATATTGTTTGTATCTAGCATACTTTGACACATTTTGTTTTCTGAACAGTCTTTTGTTTTAAGTAGAAAAGAACTGTTCCAAACCCTAGAAGTAACCCTAACAAAGACCGTTACACCGACGTAATTTAAGTTTTCTATTGTTGATTTCAAGTGAGCACTGATTAAGTTGTTGTATTAACACAGAACGAAGTAGTTTTTGGGAGACTTCACATAACGGTTTCTAAAGTTACACATTTACAAATGAAAAAGCAACTAAACGGAGATTAATGGGTCACCTTATGTAGCGGAAGTATTACTATTGTTTCTAACCATACAACCATATTCAAATAAAATAATATTCAGAAAATTAAGACTAGTGAATAAGAAATGATACCAAAACGATTTAGGGCCGAAAATTTAAAATAACTTCCAGTATATTCTTGATTTTAAACATGTCCCATGCCCATTTCAAATTTTTAAGAATTATTGTCTGCCTTACCTGAATAAAACACCCAATTACTCCAAGTTCATCATTTAGATTTATCAATCAAACTGATAATTAAATATGGAAATTGCACGAGGTGACAGCGTGTGTAAATCTGGTATAAGGTCTCTTATACATGTCAAGTCATTGATAAAGGTAGATTGTGTACGAGTATACAATGTTCAAAGTCTGCCATGTCAGTAGAAAGTCTTGTTATCTCTGTAGGGTAAACGTAAATGTGAGGGATAAAGGGTCATGTTGATTTAAAAGGACTCATTCACCCACTTAAGATTTCCCAGAATACTATTCAATCTATTTTCAAGATAAAATAAAAATACAGTTTCATGTGACCATCGCGAATACCATTCATGCCGAATTAGCAAATTGAGTAGGCTACCAACCATGCAAAGAGCTGTGATATAATATTTGGTAGTAGTAGGAGTAAGACGTGTAATCGGAACTTCAAAGGGAAAAGGGGATTCTCAGATCAATTCTCAGCATATCATTTGATCAGCTAAATATTGGGAGAAACATTGAGTTGTTGATTCCGGCCGTCAATTTTAGCTAATTTGTGCTAGAAACTTTTCAGTCGCAAGTGTGTTCAGTCCTGGATCCTTCCAGTCGAATGGTCAACCTGAATTTCTCCTGTAACCATTCACAGTATAGCCTACGGGCGAAAACTCAGAGGTTCCTTTTAAAACTGGTGAAATCAAATAAGTGAATGAATAATAAGATCGATATAAAAGTACTGGCTGTTACATGAATTGAATTTAAAGTGTCTCACGTGTGACTGATTATAAGAGTTCAGCCCATCGTTGTGTCTGTGCAACTATATACTAGGACAGTCGACGGTTATGAAAATGAATTGAAAAAAACGGAATTCCGAGGATGCTATAGGTCGAATGATTTCCAAAATTTACAGATCATGGAAGTGTAAATTAGTTTAAAGAGATAGCTTCGCTATCTGTTTGACTAATGGTATCATAGTCTCAGAAACGGAATTTTTTTAACTAAACCAATCAATGTGTGTCTAGAATTGTCTACGACTCGTCTTTTCTAGAGACTATGTCATATACAGAAATAGAAAGTGAAATTAATAGTTTAAAGTATTTTTAAACGCATTATGCGATTTCTGTACATTTTCAGTGAGCCAAGGCTACCTCTGAAGACTGTATACATATATTCAAACTCCCGAAAATGACGAAACTGTCCCTTTAAAACGTGAGAGTAAATAGAGCAGACCCGCTACCTAACCTCTCCAAAACTAAATCATTAACAGATTGGTATGGATGCACTATTATGATATGAGTACAAATCTTGCGACATCACAGTTGTCCGGTTTTTTTTTTTAAATATACCAACACATATCTGTATATAAAATATATAAAACATTTGTAAAAATATATTTAATTTTAGTTCTTCATAATAAAATATAACTTGTCATGATTGTTCGCTTTAACTGAGTATTTGTTTTTAACAATGCGTAGAATACAATAAATTATAAAATTACATTCAGGTAAAATAACATAGAGTTACATAAAGATAAAAACTATAATATATAACTGGATTTATATTAAGGAAGTAATGAAATGAGATTTTTTTAAAATCCGTGATTCCATAATATTGACCTCACCAAAAATTCTGCCAAACTGAAAATGTTTCGTATTGTAGCATGAATTCTGCAATCCTTAAATTAAACAATTCTTATTTAAGCGCAAATTTTCATAGGCGTTTGGAGCTGTTGGGATTTAATACCCACCCTAATGAAATGCAATAAACTGGTTTGTAGAGTTTCAATTTCTATTTTCTATTTCACAAAATCTACTGTTGGTTATGTTCGAAAACATCCTAAAATGTTAATAAATGTCTCTGCACGAATATAATATAGGAATGTCCACAAATAGGAAAACGAAAAATGACCAGATGTGCCTCATGCAAAAGAGATATGAAAAGCCTTGGTCTAAAATACTTTCAACCTTAAAAATTTATATCCTTCATAAATATAGTCTAAAGTATAGTTTTTATTGTAGGCCTATAGTGTGCACAGGAAAAACAATGTGATCTTTACCCGTATTTGTTTGTGTTGGCCTTGGATATCAAATATATATATATAAAACATTAAAAATACACATTATATATTACTACTTAATCAATAGAAATTAAAGTTTACATATACTAAGTAGTCCATTAAATAGTGTATACATTATTCATCTTAAAAACATCTTGTAAGTATGACAGCTTGTTAGGCAAGGTAATATATGACTACAAACAAAAGAAGAGTAATAAACTAAACATTTACTGACATAAAATAGTTCATACAAGCAAATAAAAATGTCCATAACAGGCTATATTTTTTAGTTAAAACCATAAGTCAACTGTTCATTTACTATACACTTCAATCATCTAATTTGTTGTATAATTCTTCAATTTCTTTTTTAAACTGTTTATGTAATGCTGGTCGTTTATTCTTAAATGTTGGTGTTAGTAAACCATTTTCTACTGAGAATTGTTCAGAATGTATATAGATATCTTTCACCTGTAAAAATCAATTTAATGTGTAAGAATATTTCTGGCATTGACAAGCAAAGACGTGATTTGTTAGGATCGCTTTCACGTCAATTTATCTACCTTTAATTAACCTCTACCAGATCAAAAATATTACGATTATGTAAGATTCAAATTTACAGACAAATATAAATTTCATCATTATTCATCATTTTCGTAGTGAAAATAGGCTATTGTGTTAACCAATGTAATAATAGGTGCGTATTATATTCGCAATTATATAGTATATAAATATTTGTAATTGACAAGATCAATTCATACTTATCAACTTGTTTTTAGTGTAATCATTACCTGTTCGAAACCTTTTAATTGTGCTTCTTTACCACATCTGATCATATCTTTCAAAACAACTTGCTTTATATCCTGGTAGAGATAAAATATCAAATACAATAAATATTAATATTAATACAATAAAACTAATATTCAATGTCTGAGGTCAAGGGCAATAAGTCTTGTTTCTAGTTGTTATAAAGCTTGCACATTCAAACATGTTTTTCATAAATTATATACAAGTTTTAAAGTTTGATCTGTAGAAAGCAAATGTCGAATTCACAAAGCAATAAGCATATAAAAGACATATCAATATCGTTTGATATAATGTAATAAAAGAGTGATGTAACAACTTAAATGTTTGAAATATAAGGTTACCTCATCTGTCATATTATTATTATTATTATTATTGGACCATTGAGACATATATTCTTCATCTAATACAACCACAGCCATAACACAACTCTACAAATTGATCAATCAAATATTAATATTACAATTAAAATCCTGGAATTTGGCAGAGTAGAATTAAAATCCTGGAAATTGGCAGAGTACAATCAAAATCCTGGAAATTGGCAGAGTACAATCAAAATCCTGGAAATTGGCATAGTACAATAAAAATCCTGGGAAATTGGCAAAGTACAATTAAAATCCTGGAAATTGGCATAGTAGAATAAAAATCCTGGGAAATTGGCATAGTACAATTAAAATCCTGGAAATTGGCATAGTAGAATAAAAATCCTGGGAAATTGGCATAGTACAATAAAAATCCTGGAAATTGGCATAGTACAATTAAAATCCTGGAAATTGGCATAGTACAATAAAAATCCTGGGGAATTGGCATAGTACAATTAAAATCCTGGAGATTGGCATAGTACAATTAAAATCCTGGAAATTGGCATAGTACAATTAAAATCCTGGGAAATTGGTATAGTACAATTAAAATCCTGGAAATTGGCATAGTACAATCAACATCCTGGAAATTGGCATTGTACAATTTAATTCTGAAAAGGGATATGGATAGGTAAAATCAGCCCTATCAGCTAACCTATATGATGATATCAATACTTACCTCAAAAGTCAGACATAAGAATAAGTACTAGGCCCCTACATGTAAATATGCTGAAATATGTCAGTTGTCTAATCACTACTTGTCAAACTTCAGTAGGGACATATGCTGAAATAGGTCAGTTGTCTGAAGATCGCTTCTTGTCAAACTTCAGTAGAGAAATATGCTGAAATAGGTCAGTAGTCTGAAGATTACTTCTTGTCAAATTTCAGTAGGGACATATGCTGAAATAGGTCAGTTGTCTGAAGATCACTACTTGTCAAACTTCTTGGTTGTGAAAGTCTGGTAACAAACCAATTCCATTTTCATACATACCTTTAGACTGTTACCCTCCAAAAATACTTGAGTCACATATGGACTTCTTTGATAAATATTTTCAATTTTTTCAGAAGCAATATATTCTCCCTAAAAATTGATATACATATAAATTTTGAATTGGTAATAAAAGATAAAAGATATGGTGCTGAAGCAACTTGATTTATATTTCATGAAAATATAATTTTTAAAATAGTTTAAGATATATACTGATTGAATAATGTCTTCAAATATCTCAGAAACAATTTTATGATACACAAAATGTAATATTTCATTATGTACTCTACATGAGTTTACCATCTCTATCAACCTTTTACATAAATACTAATAAGATAACTACACATTTATAAATCATACCTGAGCTAATTTAAATATATTTTTCTTTCTATCAACTATTTTCAGACAACCATTCTACAAAAAAAAATATTTTCATAATACAGGATAGATCATTCCTTGATCTTATATTTCATTTTCCTGGGAAAGCGAACTGAATTAAAGGGAGAATGCCTGTGATGTGTCAGAATTTTCAGAGTAAATAAATGTCAGAAATAGTATATCCATATATTTTGTGCTTCTTTATGAAAAGATATATCTGTGAATGTCATGATTCATGTAGGTAGCATATCGAGTTGTCGTGTATCTATGCTATACGATGCTGGGCATACCATCAAGTATGTATATCTATAAGAAATAGAAAGTTGAAGTTTCATTCGCAAACCAGATAGCAGGAAACTGTTGACAATTTATAGACGAAAAATTTCTAGCAATACTATTTACATGACAGTGTCTTAAAATTTACAGTTGTAAAAAATTTGAAATGTTAGTTTTTTGTTTATTAACCTATATTCTGATATTGTTTATCTTTTATCGCGATATGTATCATAATATGGGCAATATTGTTTTTAAGATTTAAGTCTGAACTCTAGTCAGTTATAATTGACAAATTCAGTCAATAGTACCGATCAGGAACCAACTTACCGGTAACCATGTACCAATATCACCAGTATGGACCCAACCATCTTTATCTATAGTATCAGCTGTTTTCTCTGGCTCTTTATAATAACCTTGAAATATATTGTGACCTTTGGCTAATATCTGAAATTTATAATACACAAATAATAGACAATCTTTATAGTAATTTTAACTTCTTTTTCCCATCCAATTTGATTTTAAATTGGTTATGAAATTTGAATGGTTTCTTTTTTTATTTAGATGAAATATTTTGACACAATTCAAACTAATTTAGGAATTCTTTTGACCAAAATTTAAAAAAAATTATCCAATTATCCCAATTTTGTATCATTAACCAACCACTTATCTAATTTAAAATCAAATGAATCTAAACATACTAAAAACTCAATTCTTAAGTTAATTCATCTTCATCATATTCAAAATGTGGTTGATCATTGGATTTACGTGAATAAGCAAAGTATTTATAAGGAGCTAGGAATTAAGGAAATAGAATATTCTACTGTATGACTCTCATCTCAAAAGACCATGAAGACATTTGTATGATAACAAATTAAAAGTACAAACCTCTCCACTTCCTTTTGAAGCATAATAATCCATTTCTGGTACATCAATTAATTTGACTTTATTACACATCAAAGGTCCACCACAATGTCCTAAAAACAATAACTATCATTGTATATAGAGAACATTGCATAAGTACAGTTTTTATTTTATTGTTTACTGCCAGAGACTTATGTCAAGTTTAAAGCTCCCTAAATGAAAGAATATTTCTCCAATCCATTAACAAATTTTATCACAAAATATTGTTTTGCTATCAGCAGCAGAATTTGTCGCAAGGTGCAAATTAGTTCAAATTTGAAGATTATGCTTAACATTTTCCTTTTAAGGAAAAGAATGTTACCAAAGGACACTTATAACCAAAATTTGTACCATTAAGATTACTCTTCAAAAATCTGTTATAATATTTTAACAATATTGTTACGACAAAAAAGGCCAGAAACACATTTTTGAATCCCTTTATGGCATTGACCATCTGCTAAGATATATCATATACATCGTACCTGGAACAGTTTCTCCGGGAATATTAAAGGTTATTCCGGCAGTGGCTTCAGTTTGACCATAACCTTCAACAACCTTGTAAAATGAACAATAAAACAACAATGCAAGAGAAGAAAGTAAACAACATTTCTACAATAATAAGCAATTTCCAAGATTTTTTTTATTGAAATAACTAAATTTGACAGTCCTTACTTTATGAATGCTCCCAAAGAAACATTTATATTGCAACCATATTAAGAACACAAGTAATATGGATATATTACTTCTAGTATTTCATAAACAACCAGACATTTCAGATGCAGATTTCATAAACAACCAGACATTTCAGATGCAGATTTCAATAAACAACCGGACATTTCAGATGCATATTTCATAAACAACCGGACATTTCAGATGCGAACATTTCAGATGCATATTTCATAAACAACCAGACATTTCAGATGCAGATTTCAATAAACAACCGGACATTTCAGATGCATATTTCATAAACAACCAGACATTTCAGATGCATATTCTATATACAACCAGACAAGTGGTTAAAAGATAACAAGACAAAAAAAAAAAAAAAAAAAGAAAATACATACTATACATCCAAAAGCACATCTAGCGAAATTCAAAACCTCTTCTGATAATGGTGCTGATCCAGTAATAATCATTTTAATTCTACCACCTAGTAAATTCTGTATCTTACTGAATAATATCTTGTCCCAAATACTAGTTCTTCTTATTATACCACTGTAAATACAGAATAATACTAATAATACTAGTTAGTTATATACTATTTCTTCTCATTATACCACTGTAAATACAGAACAACACTAATAATACTAGTTAGTTATATACTATTTCTTCTCATTATACCACTGTAAATACAGAACAACACTAATAATACTAGTTATATACTATTTCTTCTTATTATACCACTGTAAATATAGAACACTACTAATAATACTAGTTATATACTATTTCTTCTCATTATACCACTGTAAATACAGAACAACACTAATAATACTAGTTATATACTATTTCTTCTTATTATATCACTGAAAATACAGAACAATACTAATAATACTAGTTATATACTATTTCTTCTCATTATACCACTGTAAATACAGAACAACACTAATAATACTAGTTATATACTATTTCTTCTTATTATATCACTGTAAATACAGAACACTACTAATAATACTAGTTATGTACTATTTCTTCTTATTATACCACTGTAAATACAGAACAATACTAAAACAAAGTCTTAAAACAATAAAGCTCACCTTTGAATTTCCTTTGACTTTGATTGTAAACCCCAGTTTAATAAACATGATTTTAGTTTACTATTCTTTACTCCATTCAAAACCTATAAAAAAATCCAATGTCAAAGAGATTTCTCAAATTCCTACATAAAGCTTTCATTAAACTATGTATTTGATTGGCATGAATATTTCAATTACCTAGTAAAAATGGCACATAGCAAATACAATTTTTAAAATCATACATGGTGAAAGAAGTTAATTGAAGAGCCTTTTTAACAGCTTGAAAAATAACCATAGCAAATAAAAAAAAAACAAACTTATCACTATTCTTTATAACGCTACTTACCTTTTGGTGCATTCTATTTAATAATCGAGGTACTGTAGGGAAAATAGTTGGTCTCAATGCTTGTAAATCATCAGTTAATAGCTTGATATCACCTTGAAAGAACCCTATTTGTGCCCCATGCATGAACAATAATAACTGAAATGGAAGACAACATTATAAATCAGATATTTTTTTCATTACCAACTATACTATAAGTCAAACACAGACAATTACAACTTCCCAGGTGCAATTTCTGCTAAAGAATAAGACAGAGCACAAAATTTCAAAAAAAGTCTCGATAGAAATTCTGGAAAATGAAAAATACTCAGATAAATTTACTGGTAAGCATGTTTGACTTGACATTTGACTTATGCTACTAATACTTAATCTGCTATTTACATAATATGATATATCTTTCAAATAAAAATGCCTTTTACCTGCATTCCTCTTTCAAACATGTGAGCTAATGGAAGATATGACAGATGGACATCATTTGGTGTAATTTCAAAATTTGACTGAAATACAAAATAATTTTGAATGTCATATAAACAAATGCTTAAATGATCTTAATAAAAGTTTTGCTTGATCTCATTTCACTGCAATTATCTTTGTAAAGTCATCTTCAGTAGAAACAAATAATAAACAACAATGTTCGGTAATAAAATAATATAGAAATAGTCATCACCTTAACATGAGCTATTATAGCTGATATATTGGAAACTAAATTTTTATGTGTTAACATAACACCCTTAGGATCACCTGAAATTACAGTATATAGCTACATTAAATATTTTTCTATAATGAAATATCATTCTTTGAAAATTAGGGTTGAGCAATATACAGCACACAAGATTTTATACAGCTAGTAATTCATTATCAGATTAATATTGACTTTAATTTTGGAAAATTTTGGATAAAGGCCTGGCACATGAATAATCTATTATACATTATGTTCACATAAGAGAAGGCTTTCTGGTAGATTTCCAATGATCTAATAATAAATGTACAACAGCTAAAAATGTCTTTAAGGCTAGCCTGAAATTAACAAGAGCTTCCATTAAACACAAATATACAGGTTTTTGTTGAAATTGTGAAATAATTTCCCGAGAAATTTAATTGCAATAACAATGTATACAAACAGTTCAAAATGTCAAAATATTTTAGTTTTGTACTTGTGACTGTAAAAAATGCCTCCAGATTATGTAAAAAAATATGTTGTAGAAAATATGTTTAAACACCAACTGAAGCTTTTCAACTCTGACTAAAATATAAATGTCTTTAAAATTTCAACTTATAATCCATAATCCAGTTAATTTACAAGAATGTAGACTGAATCAAAAGAAAATCAATATAAAACACGTTACCTGTTGTTCCACTAGTATAACATATAGTAGCTAAATCATCTGGTTTAGGTAACTATAATAAATATATCAAATAAATATAATTAAAGAAGCACAAGATATATGGATATACTATTTCTGTATTTATTAACTCAATGTTTCACATGCTCATACAGGCAGTGTTATCAAGAGAAAAATAGTAAATATAGTATTACAGTAAATATAATTAACTTTGTGAGTTCCATATCTTAACACAATAAACTAGACTTATACCATTTGGTGTTTCTGATGCGTATATGTCAGATTCAAATAAAAGCATAGGTCCAAAGCTTGAGATAAACTAAATATTGCATAGTTTTAGTGTATCTAAACTTTAAGATTATAATCTTCACCCAAATAGTATAATCACTCAGTTAAGTGTAAATTTCAGATCAAATTACAATTTAAATCTTACCACTGGATCAACTGGATGAGATTTACCATTTTCCTGAAATTAAAACTTATCATCAAATATTCTTAAATACATAATTATCAGTTCCCTAGTATTCTAAATCACTTCAATCAAACAGGAGAATGCCTTAATAGTCATGATTCTGTGATGAAAGTCCATTTCTAAATTGGGAACGATTGAAATGGAGCTTCAATACCTCATTCGATACTAATCTGGTTTTCCATTTTCACAGGGTCAATGTTGTGAATTTGATTCGAAGTTGGGATTCTCTCATATTTACTACTTATGAAAGTCATGAAAATGGTGAAAAATTGTCAACCTGATTGTCAATCACGTTGACCCAATGTAAAAAAAAGTCGTAAACACCATTCTCACAGCAGGAATCGAACACAGCATAAGTGCTAGTTTACCTGTATATCTGTAAATTGATGTAGGTGAATATTCCCTTGTTTAGCCAGCTCTTTAACCTTATCTGTTATTTTTTCTATTACTATCATGTGTTTCAGACATTTTATATTCTTGGTATCTTGTAAGATTAATTCTGCTTTACTACATTTATCACATATCAATGTTGTAATGTTGGCTAAAATAAATGTGAAAGATACACTGTTTGTTATCCTTAAATAATATAATATTGTACTATACTAAACTTACAATAATTGATGATATATTGGCAAGCTGATGAACTTAGTAAGTCATATTTAGAATATGATTCAGTAAGTTGTATTTATTATATGATTTATTATGATCGATATTATATTGACAAGCTGATGAACCTAATGTTTCATATAATAAAACTTACTATGAATGATATTATATTGACAAGCTGATGAACCTAATGTATCATATAATAAATAAAACTTACTATGAGTGATAATATATTGACAAGCCGATGAACCTAATGTATCATATAATAAATAAAACTTACTATGAGTGATAATATATTGACAAGCTGGTGAACCTAATGTATCATATAATAAATAAAACTTACTATGATTGATAATATATTGACAAGCTGATGAACCTAATGTTTTATATAATAAAAGTTACTATGATTGATAATATATTGACATGCTGATGAACCTAATGTTTCATATAATAAATAAAACTTACTATGAATAATATATTGACATGCTGATGAACCTAATGTTTCATATAATAAAACTTACTATGAATGATATTATATTGACAAGCTGATGAACCTAATGTATCATATAATAAATAAAACTTACTATGAGTGATAATATATTGACAAGCTGAAGAACCTAATGTATCATATAATAAATAAAACTTACTATGATTGATAATATATTGACAAGCTGAAGAACCTAATGTATCATATAATAAATAAAACTTACTATGAGTGATAATATATTGACAAGCTGGTGAACCTAATGTATCATATAATAAATAAAACTTACTATGATTGATGATATAATGACAAGCTGAAGAACCTAATGTATCATATAATAAATAAAACTTACTATGATTGATAATATATTGACAAGCTGAAGAACCTAATGTATCATATAATAAATAAAACTTACTATGAGTGATAATATATTGACAAGCTGGTGAACCTAATGTATCATATAATAAATAAAACTTACTATGATTGATGATATAATGACAAGCTGAAGAACCTAATGTATCATATAATAAATAAAACTTACTATGATTGATTATATAATGACAAGCTGAAGAACCTAATGTATCATATAATGGGACAGTTACCAATGAATATGTATTGCAGCCTTGTTCTGTTATGGTCCACTGAAATGATACAATTTAATTTGTTTCTTATTCTGTTATTATTATAATCATCATCATTTTAAAACAGATATTGGATATTTTGTAATCCAATGAGGTTATGATTTCAATGACATGTTTAACATAATGGAACTTTAAAGAGTATCTATAAAAATATAGGCCTACCTCTTTTCTGTTAGAACTATATATACCAATAAATGTTTCTTGACCGGGTTTTAACCCTAGATTTATTAACCCTGCACCGATATTTAAAGCCTGCTCATATACCTGAAAATTAAAACTTATTTATTTTTTACCAAAGTTAATAAAATCTATCCAGAAATGAAAATTTTAGTGCATTTACGGCCAAGAAACCAAGATCAAAAATATTTCATTAACTTAAGTTTCAAATTTTTGAATCCGTTGAAATTTGATGTCCTAGAGAGATAATTAACAATTTTCCAAAATCGTCAAATTTGGTACATATAAAAGCCTTCCAGAGTAACCATAGAGCCAAACAATTCATCTATATACCTGCTTATAAGACAACCATTGATATTCTTTATTAGGACTACTTCTACTTCCAAGACAATTACCATTATCTTAAATAAAGAGTTTATCAATTAAAGGTATCATACTTGAAAAAAAAAATGTGCAAATTTACATATTTTGTTAAGCGACTTTTGTGATGTACTGTCGTGCATATAATGTATTCAGCTTCACTCCATTCAACAACTTCTTAACCAATAAGATTTCACTTACTATAATCTGACTATTTATACTTAAATGACTAAAATATCAGTTTTATGTTTAGATCTCACTCTCCTGACAATTGTCAAGCGTGCGTGCAGGGGTGTATTTGGCTTGACTGTAAGAAATTTATCACCATTGTAATGACCCAATTGGCCCATTCAGATGCAAAAATTTTAATTGTTATTACCTGAGACACGAATTCCTCTTTGAAAACTTTCATACAATGTTTTACTGTCTTCATATAGATATTCCATTAATTCTGAATCCTTTGTTAAATAAGCAGAGATCCTGACACCAGGCTAAAATAAAAGACCACAGACTTGAAGACTGATGAACACAAGCTATGCTGTGTAGTGTTGCATTTGAGCTTGTAAGGACCAAGTCTTTTGTTAAAATTTCCAATAATTGGATCTTTAATATGCACAGTGCCCCTGTTTAGTGACCAATATCAATCATATTCTCCTTGACTTATTAAGAAAATTAGGTTACCTAGTAAGATATGCCCACTTTCCTAATACATTTTCAGTATATCAAGGGCAGTCATCAATCTGTGTCAAATCATACCAAAAATCTTATTTGTGCAAGATATTGTTGATTTAAACAAACACACATTTTTCAATAAAATTCTGACATAAACTGTCACCTCTATCGCCAACAAATATTGATGAACTAAGTCAAGGGAAATAACCCAAATGATCAAGAAATCATCAAATTCAATCTTGACTATGATCTTAACATTATAAATGATCATACCAAATTTCATTTAAATCGGACGAAAACGGTAGTCTCTATTGTGTTCACAAACCAATTTTTTCAAAATGTTTTTCAAAAATCAAGGGCAATAACTCAAAAACGTTCATCGAAAGATCGTCAAATTCGAACTTGTCTGAGATTTTATCATTATAATTGGTCACACTAAATTTCATTTACTTGTTCATGTTGTTTTATTCATACAATGAACATTCTTCTCCTATTGAACATTGATCTTTTACAGACTTTTGTTGGTATTGTAACATCCTTTTTAACAGTAATATCTGACTATGATTTGCATGTTTTAAAACATAATTACAATTAACCTACACAGTCATTTTAAGCCATGAATAAACAAATATAGAAACCTTGTTATTTTTACATATTATCTTATATGTCAATATAACCCAGCAACATAATTTACTTGGCTTATATTATTCATCCTAAAACTATATTCTTATTGACAGTATTTCTTCTGTTTTTAAGGCAAAAGAGCATAATTCTGAAAAAATATAAAGGGGGAGGTGCCCCAAACCACTAAAAAGTCCACAGGTCTCCACGTATCTAGATGAGCCACTGGTTCTATTTAAACATATTTTACTACAAACAAGTAAATGGATTTGGCAAAACGTACAAAAATGCTGTTTAAAATATTTTTGAACTTGTTATATTCTGGAAAAAGCCTTAGTTGTATATTTAAGACAGCAGGTAAAGAAATGATAAAGTTAGATAAGAAAATGTTGTCTCAGCTCTAAACTCGATCCATTTTACTATATAATTTCCTACATTTAAATTGGTCTTCGTCACAACCAAACAGCTAGACTTTTCTTTCATATCAGCACCTTGGCCCTGTATCATCAACAGAATGGGATGAAATATGCAAATGAAGGGATTCTACTCGTAGATTTCTTATCCAAATTTGCCTATCATCAAGCAAAGAAGAGACTGAATTTCACATCAATATGTATCAATTACTAACCTCGACTTCCACAGACTGATTGTTTAAATCTAACGCTAATTTTATAGGTTGTGGCTTCGACATCATGTAGTATGTTAAAGCACCAACTGTTGTAAGTGTAACTGCAGCACCACCTATAACTTTTGATGTATCACTTTCACTTAATATCTTCTGAATGGAATCCATTGACGTTTCTAAAAAAATGACATAGATATGTAATATAAAAAAAGTTCTGGTTACCAATGAATTGTTTTGTGCACTAAAAATTTACACATGCAGCTCAAATTTAAATGGATTCAAAATACCAATCAAACAAATTAGCAGGTGTTTTGGTAGGGTGAGCAATTGAGATCTGTATAGCTTCTATCTGCAACTTTCCAGTCTAACCTTTGCCCTCACTAGTGCATATAGTGCAGAAAATCTTGGACAGACACACAATGCATGTTTAACCTGAAAGCAGATTTGAACTAAACATCTGACTGAACTAATGTTAGAAACTTAAAAATAAAATAAAATTTTTAGTGCCCCTTCCATTTTGTACAAATAATTTTCTCTTTCTGCTTATCCAAGCTTTAAAATGGCCAATGTTAAAAAATGATTATTAAATACTTTATGTAAGGACAAACAAGTACACTAATGCTCTTGCATGTCATGCTAACTTACACTCTATCTATTATATTTTTTAAAAAATTAAGACTTGTACAGTTGACCTTGAGCTATAGTTTTTTGGATGGCTGCCCATGAATATAAAATCGCAAGGCTTGAATTTTGAGTGGTAAAAGTTGAATGAGGACCAAGAGCTACTTAGTTAATGTACATTGGGTATGGAGATACCAAACAATGTTATCAGTGATCTGCCCCCAATCTTTACTATGTTCTCCCTATTACTTATTAATGACTTTTGACCTTTACATCTATATGACTACAGAAAACTTCAATTAATTGTACAAAGGATATTAGAATAATTTCGGTTAACTTTTTAGATTAGAACTAATGTCACTATACAAGATTACTTTTAACTGAGTGTACTACATTGACATAGGTCACCTCTAAGTCACTGCAAATTGCATCAGTGGCAGTTTTGGGCACAGTGCATTTGTGTGAACTCTTTCATACATTTCTATGCACATACATAATAGCCAACTATGATAGACATTATTATAGAGCAATTAACAGTGGCATTTCAGATACGTTATGTGTGGCATATTTAGCCATTTGGTGTCGTTAATATATTGTATCCTTATAAACTGTTGATAAATTTTCGTATGGTCAAATGTACATTTGATATGTGGCATGTGGCTTACTTGTGCAAAAAAAGTTGCAATCAGAACGGCCACAAACAAAGCATCAAGATCAAGTACTAAATACATGTGACAACTAATTTATATATTCAATGTTAAATACTACTCACCTCTTTAGGTCCAAAACTATAAAGTTATATTGATGTAAACTCAAAATACCGCTGCGTCTGTTGATGTTGATAACAAACAGATCACATGACATGATGGGGGCGTGGCAGATCTTGTGTCTGGTTATTACCGTACTTTTAATATGTGTATAAGTATATGATTTATTGATACTTTGAGCTAGTTCGCATGAATAAAAGCTTTTCGGGAACATTAGGATGTAGAACCCACTCCTGGCTTCCGTGTAGGCTACTATCTGCTGATAGAAAGATGGTAATAAAAGGACATCACAATATGACTAGGCTACTCTCCGACTAGAAGTACAAAATTGAATTTTTTCCCGTAATTTATTCCCAAATGTATTCAAAGTAAAATTGTTAATGTTCGATTTTACTAAGACTGATTTCGATTCCATAGATTTCATTGGAAATAAACACTCTTCCCTCCCAGAAATTTCACATGATCCAGAATGACTCTCTCACTTTGGTGAAAATGCCAACAGATGAAAAGAATATTATTTGCATATGTAATTTTTACAAAACAAACTGAGGGGCATTATTGTGTGATTGGAAAGAAACATGCGTATAGAATGGTTCAACAACAAAAAAACGTCACTTTATAGCTCTTATTGTCATTTTATTAATGTGAAATTACAAAATGGTCAATATTGCATGCTGGTGTTACAATGAAAGTCAATGTAAAGTTTAAAACAATAAAACATGTTTATTTAATCTGGTTTTATTGTCATTTTATGCCATTGTATATATATGTGAAATTTACATTCTTGCCTAGTTCACAAGTTGTATTAGAACTGATTGTAAACTATTTCAAGGTCACTGCAACCATAACTTTTTTCATTATGCTATTTAGGATGGTATTCTAAATTGTTAAGACTGACTGCATATTTTATTACAGTAGGTTGAAGGTGTGAATAGATGAGGTGTACACGCTGTCCGGTGCGGTGTACGGTGTGGAATAATCGACACCGTAGAAAAGAGAAGAGACGAATCGTGTCCGGACCCATACCTAGTTTGTTCACTAGTTTCGTTTGTATCGTTTATTCCGCACCGTACACCGCCCCTCGTCTATTCGCGGCTGTGGACTATAGTGGGACGGGGCTCCTTCCCTGGGAATTTTATTAACAAACTTTAAGATACCTCTGTAAATGAAATTAATGTCTGTTAATGGAAGATTTAAAGATGTTCAATCCCTAGGTGATGTCCTTGGTTAGAGCCTCAGTATCAGTTGTGAACCATTCTTTTCCATGACAATTTTTCAATTAATGTCAGTTGTATATCTGAATGGTTCAAGGTCGTTGTTATTATGACTATATCATGTAAATTGAAGTGGTTTAAGTTCATAGCAAAATAACTACTGCATCTGTATATTTCAGTACTTAATAATCATGCACTATAACTTGCTATTCAAATTATGATTAGCTGTAGCCTATATTTCAGTGGCTGAAAATGGCATTGGGCCTACTGCACGACAGAGTTTCTCAACTGGCTTGCAGTGCCAGTCGACAGTGTCGCGCGACATAATTTGAAATAAAAGATAGCTTGCCATCAAGGTAGGTAACATACGCCCACTACAAGTTGTCATAAAAAAGAACAGTCTTTAGTGACTTAAATATGAATTTATTATATTTAATCCAATTTTTTAAAAATCAATAGCAATAACCCAAAATCCCTTCATCGAAAAATCATCGTATTAGAACTTCACTAAATTCTCATCAATATAAATAATCCCAGCAAATTTCATCATAATCGAATAAAGACAATAGGGCAATAACTCAAAAAATGTTCATCGAATAATCGTCAAATTTGAATCAGTCCAAGATCTTATCAATATAATTATATGATCACACCAAGATCCATTAAAATCAATTTCATCGAAATATTGTCAAATTTAAATCAGTCCAAGATCTCATCAATATAAATCATCACATTCAAATCGGATGAAAATCGTAGTGTCTATTAGCTCACAGACAAATTTTTACGCGTTTTTACTAATTCAAGGGCAATAATTTTCAAATTCGAATATATATCATTACACCAAATGTCATTAAAATCAACTAGAAACTGTAGTCTCTAAAGTGCTCACAAGAAATGTCGACGAACAGACGGACAGGGGCAACGGAAACGTCGCATCCACTTCGTAGGCCTATCTGTTGTCAGTGGTCTAAGAAAAATTCATCGTGGAAGTCAAATAGTCAAAGTTAATATCAATTCATTATACCTAGTGACAATTCCTTCAAAGAAGCACGATTTAAAAAAAAAATAGAGACTGACAAAATATGATACGTAGCGTGATTTATTGCTAAAAGTCACTGAAACAACATAAGAATATGGTCCACTGGTACATGCTCCATAGAAATTTTCTGCTGAGACATAGTTGATCACGTGACTTCATTCGTTGGAATATATCCTAGCAGACGACACTTGGAATTCCGATTATCGCTTGGGATTATAAGGAAATTCGGCCGATAAAAAATGGTGACGTTTGGTAATAAGTGAAATCCGCCATTTTGTATTTGTCAAAATATACATTAATACATTTTACCTTGCTTGAAACTACTGGATTCATTCTACTAGCTGATATTGTACAGAAAACCCATGTTTATTAAAACAAACTAATGCGGAGGTCGCGCAAGGTCGCTCATGTAAATTATTAATCCTTTCCGGAAATCCACGAATAATAGGTTACTCGACTGTATATTTACGGACAGACAGGCAAACCGACGGAAAGACAGACAGAGGGGCGACGGCTAATATAGGGTTTATTCTCGTGTGATTACAAACACACACACCAATTTTCGTCAAAATCCATCAAGAAACCAGCTCTCTATCGTGTCCACAAACAATTCAAGAACAAGGGCAATAACTCATAGTAAATATTTTTCGATTCGTCTGATTTGCAATAGGGTTCATCCTTGGGTGATTACAAACACTCACACCAAGTTTCGTGAAAATCCATCAAGAAACCAGCTCTCTATTGTGTCCACAAACAATTCAAGAACAGGGGCAATAACTAACAGTAAATATTTTTCTATTCGTCTGATTTTCGATAGGGTTCATCCGTGGGTGATTACAAACACTCACATCAAGTTTCGTCAAATCCATGAAGACACCAGCTCTCTATCGTGTCCACAAACAATTCAAGAACAAGGGCAATAACTCATAGGAAATATTTTTCGATTCGTCTAATTTTCAATAGGGTTCATCCTTGGGTGATTACAAACACTCACACCAAGTTTCGTCAAAATCCATCAAGAAACCAGCTCTCTATCGTGTCCACAAACAATTCAAGAACAAGGGCAATAACTCATAGTAAATATTTTTCGATTCGTCTGATTTTCAATAGGGTTCAACCTTGGGTGATTACAAACACTGAAGCAAAACTAGTCCTTGTCCTTTCCATCATGTAGGACGCATAACTCCATTCATTTCATTTTTATACGCCCACATGGAAATGATAAAAAGATTTAGTTTTTATCGAAGAAAGGAGTTCATTTAGGAGTTTTTTTGTAACTGAGACGGAATTTCCTTTAAAAACAAACATTAAAACTCAAGTTTCAGAAAACAAAAAGACACGGCCCGGTGTTATCTTCTTTCTTTAAAACCAAGACTTCTAGAAGTCCGAGGTCATTGTTTTTGGACGAAAAGATTCTTGAGATAACATTTCAAAGAATAAGTTACAGGCCGAACTGTCTTCCCCCTGTCGCTCTGTCAAAACATTAGGCTTAAGTAAAGGCTATTTGACCCGAGTTACTATCGAATGTCGGACATGCCCAAAAAGCCGACTAACCCAATTATGTTTACTAGTAAGCCTACCAAGTTGTAAGTAAGTGGACAATGTATTAACAATATGAAGTTTCGTTTCGATTTAAATTTTGTACAATTTGAAGAATTCCATTTTATTTCCGGTTAACACACGTGCGTTGATAAATGTCAACAAACAGTTTATTTTGAAGAAATTAGACAATATTGTGTTGATTTTTAAGCTCTAAAGTTTTACTGTTTTCCATCAACATGGGAAGAAACAAAAGAGTAAGTAAATATTAAGGAAATTATTCTATAAACCTGAGAAATATCTCAAACTTCAAACTCATCTTTGACTTTGGTATCTGTGTAACGATGATAATTGATATTCTGTTCTTGCCTACCTCAGTCCACACACAGTGACACACACTGTTGTCATGCTTTGTTTTATGAATTGCCTTTCTTCATGCAAATAAAGAAATATTTTGCGAAGAAATAAAGAATTTTCTGTGGACTCAAATCTATACTTTTCATTCTTATGGCTATGGCCTGAGATGCTAAAATCTTAAGATAAGAATTACAAATTTTAGCTCACATGTCCTCGTGTTAAAATGGCTACTGGTAAGACAACAAACCTCCCTATCCTTAACGTCTTACCATATTATGAAGAAACTAAACTAAGTGCAAATTTATGCTTCAATTTTTTTTAGGCCAAGTCAGTTAGGAAAACTAAGGCACATCAACAAAAATTACAAGAAGAGGAATATACAAAGACACCCCATTCTATGGTGTTTCATCGTGGTAATGTGGGTAAAGTACTGGAAGAATTAGTTAAGAATATGAGAGATGTTATGGAACCATATACAGCAACAAGTTTGCAAGTATGTTAAAACAAAACTCATTTTAAGTAGATAGTGTTTTGCAATAAGGCATTAAATGATAGAAGACCTTATTAATATGAACTACTAAACTTAGCAATACTGTAGTGTTTATATTAGAGTATTGATAGGGATATAGTTCTCTAACAATCAAAATCCAATCAATTGTTTGATTCCATTCTTACTAAAGGAGGCTTATACACACTTGGTTTACCATCCTGAATACTCTTCTTTGATCTTGTTATTTTGAAGTTATAACATCAAACTCAAATGTATAATTTTACTATTTGTTTTAGGTGAGGAATAAGAATACTTTAAAAGATTTCTTGTCTGTGGCAGGAGCATTAAATGTGACACACTTTATGGTCTTCACCAAAAATGATTTACATACGAATTTGAGAGTATTAAGAACACCTAAAGGACCTACACTGACTTTTCAATTACATAAATTTACATTAACTAAAGATGTGTTATCCTCATTACGTAAACCAGACTTAGATAAGTCAGTGTATAGACATCATCCACTGTTAGTGTTAAATAATTTTGGAGGAGAAGGTATGCAGATGAAGTTAATGTCCACCATGTTTCAAAATATGTTTCCTTCCATCAATGTCAATAAGGTATTTATTTACATGTTGATAATAATATTAATAAAAAATATGTGATTAATTTTTTCTATCAATTTACTTGAGATTGCAGTTAATTTCCATTCATTTCCTTGTCGATGTAATTGACACTCTAGTGCTTGGAATACATAAATATAGTATTTTTATCATTCATAGTCATTAATATTTTTTGGATAGCTTGATTCAATAAACTTAATCACAATAGGACTTGCTGCTTTGACTAGGATAGTATAAATTGAGTGAAGGCAGATGAACAAATGATTATAATGAGGTACGGTAAAGAAGAATTAAATTGATTCTTTCAATCCGTACAGAAAAGAAGAAAACAATAAAAATTTGTTGTGAAAACAAAGATTTTTGATGTTGTAATAAAACATTTGTAGTAATCCACAAATTTATGTCCTCACGTTTATATATTTAATGTTCATTTATTTCCCAAAGAGAATAATTCATGTTATTTGTAGGTTAATTTAAACACTATCAGAAGATGTGTATTAGTTAATTATGATTCAGAAACTAAACTGATAGAATTTAGACATTAGTAAGTAGAAAGTAGTAATAGTGCAAACTCGATCCGGGTTAGATTCAGTGAAACAAAATGTGTAAATGTGATTCTACCTTATTATGCAAATGTGTTTATTTGTCAGTGAGGAGATTGTTTTTTCTATACAGATTATTCAATTTCATTTATCTCATAAATGCTCTACAGAGTTCTGGTACAGCTCTCTTAAGAACTATTTAGGTAATTAAAGTCTTTAATGTATTAAAATAACACCAAGTTGACATGGAAAGATAAACTTGGATGTACTATTTCAGTTCAGTTCGTGCTGCACCAGTAGGTGTCAGTAGGGGTGTCAAGAAATTATTAAAGTCACATATACCAGATTTAAGCAGATATGCTGATGTCAGTGAGTATCTTGCCAAGTAAGTAAAGTTTCCAACTTTTGTCCTTTTTGATGGCTGACATGGGAAAGCATCTTGTAATTGGGAATTGACAATAAACCACATAAGTAACGTGTTCAAGAGGCTGTGCATATTGAAGATATTTGGAAAATAAAAGAGTAGGCTTATTTTGCTATTGTGGCAAAATAACTCAAATTTAGCCTGTATTGCAATCAGCTTCAATTGATTTTGTTTGAGTATTTAATATTATACTGATTGTATATTTCCTATGTCCTTTTATTCAACATGAACTAGTATTTCCTGTGGCTGAATTAAATCTGAATATGTAAGTATATGATTGAGAAATGCATTTGTTATTTTAGGGGCTGTAACTTATCTGAAAGTGAAGCAGAATTTGATGGTCCACACAATGAAGTGACTTTACCACAAAATGTATTTGGACGTGGTAATATGAAATCATCTCAGAGTGCAATTAGGTAAAGACAAATTATTTTAACTTGATTATTTTATGTTCAGTGGTTTTGATACAAACCAAGGCACCCCATTTGCCATACTTCCTTGTGGCCGTGGTAATGCAAGTCAGAGAAATTACATATTCATAGCTAAATGTTGTCCTGCAATCTTTCTAGAAAATCTCAACTAATCATATTAAGCCACTCGTTATTACGCTATGCTCTCGAACGTAAACAAAAGAAAAGTAGCATGTCATTAAAATAAATGTTTTGATTAATATGGACAGAATTAAGTAAGATGTTCAGTAAAGAATTGAACAGATTCTACCCATCTGATTGGTCGGATTTAGCACCAATCTCATTTCCACAAGACAAAGTGTAGTGGGCTTAGTTTAGTATGGGTTAATATGACAATGCCAATCCCGTATATACAATGGTTTTGATAGTACTTCTTGAACTGAAGTCAGTTGTCAAGGCATAGACTGTTATTTAACTGTATTTGCTATTACTGATTTATTAAATCTACAATCAGTGTAGTCAAGATTTTCAGTAAAGTTTCATAAGATAAGCCCATTTAGTTTTAATTTCTTGCAAATTCTTTGACAGAATTGAGCCCTCATTCACTCTATATTATGTTAGATAAACTAGCCTGTAAAACAATAAAAACAATATTGTATGCTAGCCTTATAACATTTCTATGACATTTCTTATTTTTCCCACTTAATTTATTACAATTTCTCTTTCAGATTAAAAGAAATAGGACCCAGGATGACTCTTCAACTTATAATGATAGAGGAAGGTTGTTGTGATGGTAAAGTTTTATTTCATGAATATGTCAAAAAGACAGAAAGAGAATTAAAAGAAATACAAAAATTAAAGAAACAAAAACAGTGAGTTCCTTATTAAGATATACAATATTACATTTTGTATACTTCTCCCTTTGTAGACTTTTTGACTTGACTATGTTGACTTATTATGTTTATACAAAATCATATATACAATATTGCTCTAGCAATGTATGTCTGTTTATTAATTAAAAGGGCAAAAGGAGCAGGTTGAAATTGAAAAATATTTGAATAGCTTTGAAATTGCATATTTCAGATCATTAAAGGAAGCTAGGAGAAAACAACAAGAGATTAATATAGCTAAGAAAGCTGAGCTTAAAGCTCAACATAAAGAGAAATCTTTAGAGGGTATAAGAAGATCAACACAAATGAGGAAAGAAGCTGAATCATTACTTGGTGACATAGGTATGTCTCACTTTCACTTTTGCTGCAAGGCAAGATTAATGCTTATGGAGTAAATAAGGGTTTCTCTTTATTTTCTTGCAAATTGACTTCACCACTTTAATTGACTTTCAGAAATGGCAGAATTAACTTACCCAGATGAATTGGCTTATCCAGGTCAATTTACCCATGGATAGTGACTTATGCACATGAATTAACTTATCTATGTGATTTAACTTGCCCATGGGAAATTCACAATAAATGGTGATATTGATGAAAACTGTATCATTATGAGCACAAATATGTTTCAGATCAAACTAAAAAGAGTAATGATAATGAAGATGATGATGTTGACTATTATGAAAGAGAAGTTGGTGTTAAACCTGCCCCAGGTAACCACAAGTATTTTACTATACTGTTCCTACTGTTGACAGTCTAGTTCTTGCATAGATGATGTTGAAATGTGAAAAAATAAGTACACCCTTGTTTGAAAATTTATTCTTTATTTGTTTACTGTATGTATTAATATAATTTAAGGTTCAATCTCCGTATTGCACAAGTTCTTCGTGAGCTTAATCTAAAGCAAAAAAGTAGTAGATACAATGATTTATTTCATTTGAGCTGAATGATTATTGAAAAATCATAATTATATAAAGTCATCAAAATATTTGCTTTTATGACAGTGTGTCTTCCATTTAGCACCATTAATCTGTTAAACCAGGGTCATTTAACACCCACTATTCACTTTCTCCATGTTTTCAGAACTCTTCAGTGGAGTCAAGAGGAAACATCATGGTGACACCAAAACACATTCTAAAAAATTCAAAAAAGATGAGAAATATTCTAAGAAAGAGAGTCAATATAAAAAGAAAGGAAGACAGAACACTGACAGTAAAACTAAATTTCGAGTGAAAGCTAAAGCTACAAAACCAAATAGGAGACCTACAACTGTTTCTGGTGGAAAAAGAACTACTGTCTTCAGACCAAATAAAAGATCAAATAAAAAGTGAAAATTCCTCAATTTTGTTTTTTGTATTATATAACTTAATTTTATACGCCCACATTGCATTTTGGCATCACCAATGTCTGTTGGTCCATCGTTCCACAATTGCTCATAACCTTTGAAACCTCCACAAAGTTGCCCCATTTTGAAATACCCCAAGTTTCGGGAGTCTGATGCGCTGAATATGCTAGTGAAGCCGAATAGTATCATAGTTCCTATAGCTGTGTACATTATAGAAATGTGGAAAAATAACATTGATAGGCTAATTTGACAATGTCAAAAACAACTGTGTTTAATGTATTTATTAGTGTTGAAAAAAAACTTTACCAGTCTCATGATTTTATTGCAGTAGATAATCATTTTATCTTTAGTTTATTCATCAAAAACTATGGATAATTTAGGTCTTAGAAAGTTCAATATCAATATTAAGGTAAATTTGTCAAAATTTCCCGAGTGAATATACAGCTAGTAATCAGTCGAAAAGAAATAACTCTAAATTACTGAAATATACAGCGAGATAAAATAAGAATAAGCTTGAATTACTGAAATATACAGCTTGTCATAATGAAAATAACCTTGAATCACTGAAATATACAGAGATATAATAAGAATAACCTTGAATCACTGAAATATACAGAGAGATATAATAAAAATAACCTTGAATCACTGAAATATACAGAGAGATATAATAAGAATAACCTTGAATCACTGAAATATACAGAGAGATATAATAAAAATAACCTTGAATCACTGAAATATACAGAGAGATATAATAAGAATAACCTTGAATTACTGAAATATACAGCTTGTCATAATGAAAATAAGCTTGAATCACTGAAACATACAGAGAGATAAAATAAGAATAACATTGAATCACTGAAATATACAGAGAGATATAATAAAAATAACCTTGAATCACTGAAATATACAGAAATATATAATAAGAATAACTTTGAATCACTGAAATATACAGAGAGATATAATAAAAATAACCTTGAATCACTCAGATACACAACAAGATTTAATAGAAATAACATTGAATAACTCAAATATACAGCTTGTCATAATAGAAATAACATTGAATCACTCAAATACACAACAAGATTTAATAGAAATAACATTGAATAACTCAAATATACAGCTTGTCATAATAGAAATAATATTGAATAACTCAAATATACAGCTAGTCATAATAGAAATAACATTGAATTACTCAAATATACAGCTTGTCATAATAGAAATAACATTGAATAACTCAAATATACAGCTTGTCGTAATAGAAATAACATTGAATTACTCAAATATACAGCTTGTCGTAATAGAAATAACATTGAATAACTCAAATATACAGCTTGTCATAATAGAAATAACATTGAATTACTCAAATATACAGCTTGTCATAATAGAAATAACATTGAATAACTCAAATATACAGCTTGTCGTAATAGAAATAACATTGAATAACTCAAATATACAGCTTGTCATAATAGAAATGACATTGAATTACTCAAATATACAGCTTGTCATAATAGAAATAACATTGAATAACTCAAATATACAGCTTGTCGTAATAGAAATAACATTGAATAACTAAAATATACAGCTTGTAATAGAAATAACATTGAATTACTCAAATATACAGCTTGTCATAATAGAAATGACATTGAATTACTCAAATATACAGCTTGTCATAATAGATATAACATTGAATAACTCAAATATACAGCTTGTCATAATAGAAATAACATTGAATAACTCAAATATACAGCTTGTCGTAATAGAAATAACATTGAATAACTCAAATATACAGCTTGTCATAATAGAAATAACATTGAATAACTCAAATATACAGCTTGTCATAATAGAAATAACATTGAATAACGCAAATATACAGCTTGTTATAATAGAAATAACATTGAATAACTCAAATATACAGCTTGTCGTAATAGAAATAACATTGAATAACTCAAATATACAGCTTGTCGTAATAGAAATAACATTGAATAACTCAAATATACAGCTTGTCATAATAGAAATGACATTGAATTACTCAAATATACAGCTTGTCATAATAGAAATAACATTGAATTACTCAAATATACAGCTTGTCATAATAGAAATAACATTGAATAACTCAAATATACAGCTTGTCGTAATAGAAATAACATTGAATAACTCAAATATACAGCTTGTCATAATAGAAATAACATTGAATAACTCAAATATACAGCTTGTCATAATAGAAATAACATTGAATTACTCAAATATACAGCTTGTCGTAATAGAAATAACATTGAATAACTCAAATATACAGCTTGTCGTAATAGAAATAACATTGAATAACTAAAATATACAGCTTGTAATAGAAATAACATTGAATTACTCAAATATACAGCTTGTCATAATATAAATAACATTGAGTAACTCAAATATACAGCTTGTCATAATAGAAATAACATGGAATAACTCAAATATACAGCTTGTCATAATAGAAATAACATTGAATAACTAAAATATACAGCTTGTAATAGAAATAACATTGAATTACTCAAATATACAGCTTGTCATAATAGAAATGACATTGAATTACTCAAATATACAGCTTGTCATAATAGATATAACATTGAATAACTCAAATATACAGCTTGTCATAATAGAAATAACATTGAATAACTCAAATATACAGCTTGTCGTAATAGAAATAACATTGAATAACTAAAATATACAGCTTGTAATAGAAATAACATTGAATTACTCAAATATACAGCTTGTCATAATATAAATAACATTGAGTAACTCAAATATACAGCTTGTCATAATAGAAATAACATGGAATAACTCAAATATACAGCTTGTCATAATAGAAATAACATTGAATAACTCAAATATACAGCTTGTCATAATAGAAATAACATTGAATAACTCAAATATACAGCTTGTCGTAATAGAAATAACATTGAATAACTCAAATATACAGCTTGTCATAATAGAAATAACATTGAATAACTCAAATATACAGCTTGTCATAATAGAAATAACATTGAATTACTCAAATATACAGCTTGTCGTAATAGAAATAACATTGAATAACTCAAATATACAGCTTGTCGTAATAGAAATAACATTGAATAACTAAAATATACAGCTTGTAATAGAAAAAACATTGAATTACTCAAATATACAGCTTGTCATAATAGAAATAACATTGAATAACTCAAATATACAGCAAAACATATTAAAAATAACATGGAATAACTCAGATACGCGCAAGCAAGATATAATAAAAAAGAATTGAATTAAAGCGGCAATGCATATTTTACTATCGGCTATAATCATGTCTGATAACGCATCGGCTTATTTGAAAAGAATAGTGGAGTCGACAACGAGGCCTTTTAAGAGGTATTGTAAAAAGTTGCAGTCTGACAGATTTAAAAGGTCTCCATAATCCGAATAAAATCTCTTGGAATCAATCAAAACGCGACCAGGTCTTAACGCGTGAACCCGCCATCTCCACTTCTTTATTTGGATAAGTTTATTGCGTTAGCATGTGCATGTACAAAACATAATGCTGTAGCATTGACAAAAAGTGAATACAAAAACATTTCTTATACAATATTTACAAATAACTATCCAGTGGATTAAATGATTTAGATACAATTATCGATTTTTATTAGTTTGATTAAATAAAGTTATCTTTTATAATATTGTTCACCTGTTTTCCAAGCATAAAATAAATATTTTGATAGGTATTTTTTATTCTAATTCTATTAAATTTAAATAAAGAGGTCAACTCCAACACCAACGGGATAAATATTAATATCTCAGTTTTCTATATAGCGGGCAACACAAAATAAAATGAAATTCATCTTCTAACATTTTGGAATTACAACATTCGCAAATTCGATCAACTTTTGGTATATTTAAGTATCGTGATAACGTTTCATATTATCTTATATAGAACTTAAGTTTACTGGAATTGTTAGCTTCGGAAAACCACACATGTATAAATTGATCAATTATTTGATTCTTTAGAATTGCAAAATCTGCCAGAGTAACCCGATCTTGATTACTCCATAAATATGAACATCCTAGGTTATCTAAACATTCTTTGATATTTGAAGCCCAGTTCTTGATACCTGTTTCGGTATGTATATAATGCAAACTTAAAACCACTTTTGTTTGTTACCAGCTGTAACTTATAAGTATAATCAGTCTTGTTACTACCTTTTTGAAAAACTATGATTTTTGTTTTATCGGGGTTGATTTCAAGGTTCCATTTCTCACAGTAAGAATAGATTTTGTATTTGAAGCATGGCTTTCGATTTTTCAAATAGAACAGTATCATCTGCATATAACAAATACGTGTTGACTTTAAAAAGATCAATGGAGAAGCCCATGTGCATATATTTTTCGATATTTGAGCATTCATTATTGTACTTTTTAACGTTGGAATATATTGATTTGATGATTTTAACAATTTTCGTATCAATACCTATTTCTTGTAATTTACATAAAAGCAAACATTTCTTAAGATCAATAGATGCACAAAATAGCCGTTCGTTTTGACTCAGTACCGATGATATGATGCCATGTAAAACAAAAATTGCATCTGTAGTGTTCTTTCCTTTTCGAAAACCAAGTGGAAATTCAGGAATTTTATTATTTGTCTCGGCCCATTTGTATTACCCTATTATGTTTGAAAATATTTTAGAAAACACGCTACTAAGATTAATTCCTCTAAAGTTTGAGAATACCTTCTAGCCAAGATTTCGGATATTGTGTAATGTCGAATATATAGTTAAATAATTTAGATATTATTGGTATCAAAAATGTTCCACAATCTAAAAAGAATTCAGGTGGAATTCCGTCGATACCAAGACTTTCCCCCGCTTTAATTTTATAATTGCTTTTCATCCTCGGTTATATTACTATCTAAATCGTTCAAATCATATTAGTCACTATTTACTAGCTTTAAGTTTTCATGTGCATTATTTGTTGGGGCTTTTCCTAAAATTCCCCTTGAAATGATCAAATAATTTGTTTATTGTAAGGTTAGTTCTTGTCTTTTCATTGTTTTGATTTTGAAGACCAGAATTGTTTTGGATTGCGCTTTGCTAACTTTGACACTTTTAAACCTAGACTTTTTTGAATATTTATATTTAGTGATTTTTTTAGTTTCATTGTACTTATCACTTTATGGTACGTTCTCCTATTCTCATCTGATTTATTTCTGTTATAAACATACCGAGATCTATTAAAAGAATGTATAAAATTTACTTCCAAAACATATTGTACATAGTTAAACGCAAAATTGAACCAGCTTTATATTTTCAAATAATTTTTATCGTCGTATCTTACTGAAAATAAGCAGTCGGCATTTTCGACATTCTCATTCGGCCATTTTTATCAATCGGCCATTAGGCCTACGATTTGACCGATTTTTTGTTTTTTCACCTCGAAAATAGGCTATAAATAGGAAGTCGATATCAATATATATCTGTACCGATTTAGTCGTCGGCTATATTGCTGAGTTAGCACGCGCTGATTAGTCACGTGATATTCGAGTATGGTCAGTCGTCATCTTGATCGCTATTTGAGCAGTGGGATTCGCTGTTAACCAACTCCTTCCCACCACCTCCATTAGCCTACCAGTTACGTCATCTTCACTGCTGATGCCACCAATGTTGTCTCTGGGAAAGACATTAATGATAACTCCTGTATGATTTCTAACAGTGTCAGCACTGATGGGTCGCTCATAGTAGTCAATGGTCTTACGAGCAGTCTGTGTCCCTGTGGTGAAACTGCCATGCAAATATTGCCGCAGACGATGTTGTAAACCGGGGACAATCACTGTATGGACGGCCAATAGTGCCGTTGGTTGGTTGGTTGGTGTCGTAACAAATCCAATGTCTTTCAATGGTTCTTACACTACAGTTAAAAGCATTGGCAATTTCTTGGGTACGTTGTCCGGTATTTATTCGTCCAATTGCTTGTTCAAAGTTTTTGGGAGATTAGATGGCACTCATTAGGTATCAGGTAACTTTTATATAGAACCCTAGTACATGTTGCACGTGCATCACTTGCAACTTGCTCCCACTGGCATCTTATTTGTCCCAAGGTTTACAATTACCGTTACACGAATCGGTATACGCTTATGACAGAAAATCCAAAACAAAAATTTTTCTATTCAGTATATAAGTATCGATTTTCCCTCACCCTGAAATTGTGGCAGTTGGAATAGCTCAGTTGTTGGCGAGTTGGATCGTCGTCTGCTTGGTTCCGTGGGTTCGAATCCTCCTTAAGGTAAGAAACATTGTGATGTCGCCCCTATTCACCCCCTGATACCCAAACCTGTATATTAAGTCATTGTAGCCTAAATATTTACTTTAAAAATTCTACTCCGCAGTTCTATTCTATCTGGGCTACGCCATTTAGAGTAGTAAACTAAGACATGTAGGTTTATAGGTGAAGGTTATATGCTAAAACAAATTTTATAAATATAGACCTAATTCAAACTATGTCATTCTTCTCTTATCTGTCTTCAAACACTTGTTTTCAGGTTTTAATGTTATTTACTTCGTTTTGGATAATAAAATGTGAGTATCTCGTTTGTGTTATGCAGGATTCTTTCTATTCTGTCCATTCTGTTTGAAATAATTGAAAGTCGTTTGCATGATGAGATGTTAACAACCTGTTCAGAAGTTCTATTTACAATAAATGGTTTAAGTAACTGTCGTATTAAAGATTTCCAATACATGTGGGAAAATAAATAACCCCTCCAATATCATACTGAGTGCGAGTAAGTTGGTTTCTTAGGTGAGTTGAAGTTGATGCATTTTTTGATAAATCGTTTTTGAATTATAGGCCTAACTTTGTTAAAATTTCTATTTGTTCCAGCGGATTTTAATGATGAAGCTGCGTGTGATCGTCTGAAATTAGATCTCGGTCGAGTATAAAATTGATAATTTGCGAGTAACCTTTTGTCTTAATTAGTCTTTGTTTTAGCCCAACAAATCCTTACCTACCAATTTCCCAGAGAACGTATGAACGTTTCAATATTGTAATGAAAATTTGTTATTTTATTAGAAAATACTATGAATATATTAAGTGAAATTGATGCGTCAACAGTGATAAGCGGTGCAGCTGTTACACTTACAACAGTTGGTGTTTTTACTTACTATATGACGTCAAAACCACAACCTATAAAATTAGCGTTAGATTTAAACAATCAGACCAGAGAAGTAGAGGTTAGTATGTCGTAAAGTCAAGAAATTGACTAATCTGACCAAATTAGACCAAATTTCCGTTTCGTTTTTTATTAGCTTTTATTTCTAATTTAGCCACTTCAGTTAGGACTCGTGAAACCCCGTGTACTGACCGAAAACTTTCCTCTATTTTAATTCGCGGCACGATTGAAATCGTGGTCTTTAATAATGAAGGTCGGTCGTGACAGTCGTAAAAACTTTTAGAACGATTCGAAATCTGGACTGGTTGTAAATTATAGTATCTTAGCAGTTCGTCAGATTGTGGATTGTTGTGAAATATTAAGAATCATCTGATAAAAACCATTAAGAAAGAACATTTGCCTAATTTGTACATGGTCATTTTCAGTTAGTAAGCGCCTTTTTAAATTTGGGTTCCTCCTCCATTCTTCAACGGAATTGGCCTAAGTTGTACAAGGTAATTATTCCAGAGTAGTCGCCTTTTCCTGTTTTCCACCGAGTTCACATAGTAATTAATTGATTATCAATTGGAAGTTAACATTTTACCAACTAATTACAGAGGCTCCGTTATTTTGAGTGTGATTTTGATCCTTTAATTTAGCCTGGTGTCAGGATCTCTGCTTATTTAACAAAAGATTCAGAATTAATGGAATATCTATATGAAGACAGTAAAACATTGTATGAAAGTTTTCAAAGAGGAATTCGTCTCTCAGGTAATTAATTACAATAGAAAAGTTCGAAAACTACCTAGGCTTTAAAGATGGGTTTCCTTATTTTTTTAGTGTCAAATTAAGCAAACTTTTTGACCTTTTTTGATTGGTCATTCATTCATGAACATGTGAGACAAACTGGTATTTTTCCAAGTCATCAGAACACCTCTACTTTCTATTCATATAAATATTAGCATTTCCATTTTCATTTTCATAAATGAACCCATTTTTAAGAAGGCTACATTTTTGATAGTGGCATTTCCATATCAAAAGGTCACTTGATAAGGTTTTGCTGTGTAATTGTTTTATTTATCACGAATAATAGCATTATTTTTAAACATACCATCAAGATTGTTGATGATTTACAAATTTTGGCATTAAAGAATACTAAATATTTAAAACATTGTATAATATACTAGATATTGTAGAATTTGCGGCAAATAGAAGTCATAAATTGTTTATCCGAATTCAAATTATGTAGCCTGAGTTCCACAACTGTCAAATTTAATTTAAGCTTGGTTTGCAGTCAAAATAAGATTTGTTTTCTCACACATTGTAATTTTGATATGATCTTTTGTTATGTAAGTAATGTTATACGTTAATTCGACGAAACTCTTTATTTAAGATAATGGTAATTGTCTTGGAAGTAGAAGTGGTCCTAATAAAGAATATCAATGGTTGTCTTATAAACAGGTATTATTAGAATTGTATTTTTGATTCTACACCATTCTCATCAGCCGTGGTCAGAGCCTGAAATATATATTGTTGTTGTTCTTCAGGGGAGATAAACATTAATAATGTTAATTGATGATATAAATGCTGTTCTGTTTTGAATACAGTCACGTTTTTGTGTTACAATATGATTTTCAACCAATATTGAAAATGTAGCTGTTCTAAATTACAGGTATATGAGCAGGCTTTAAATATCGGTGCAGGGTTAATAAATCTAGGGTTAAAAACCGGTCAAGAGACATTTATTGGTATATATAGTTCTAACAGAAAAGAGGTAAACCATTTTATTGAGTTTTGTGAGAATGTTCATGCAATCATTTTAAGGGATTTAGTTCGTAATTTTCTTTTGATTTGTGGAGCTAATTCCAAATTGCCTCAAAATGACGAATATTAATTACGAGGGAATTCTTAACTTGTGGAGGGTTTGTTCCAACCCTACAACCATACATTACTCAATCTTATCTAAAAGTATTTGATTATAGATATACAAGGTGTTTCGAACTTTGAGCCCTCTCCTCTAAAGCCTAAACTAAAATAGATATGAACAAAAACTAACGTAATTCTGAAAGGGTATTTATTGAAGTTTTAAACTCCCGGTATATTATGCAATTTAGAAAGGTGAAATGCCATGTGTCGTATATACGGGCATAGGTTTGTTATGTACACGGGTGGCTTTTTCGAATGATGTTGAAATATATTTCAAATGCTCACGGTTACGGATACGTCAAAGGGTGGGGATACAAATAATGTTATTATTTCAGTGGACTATCACGGAACAGGGATGCAATGCGTATTCATTGGTAACAGTTCCATTACACAGTATATTAGATTCATCAGCTTGTCAATATATTATCAATCATAGTAAGTTTTATTTATTATATGATACATTAGGAAATCAGCTTGACAATATATTATCATTCATAGTAAGTTTTATTTATTATATGATACATTAGGTTCTTCAGCTTGTCAATATATTATCAATCATAGTAAGTTTTATTATTTGATACATTAGGTTCATCAGCTTGTCAATATATTATCAATCATAGTAAGTTTTATTTATTATATGATACATTAGGTTCTTCAGCTTGTCAATATATTATCAATCATAGTAAGTTTTATTTATTATATGATACATTAGGTTCTTCAGCTTGTCAATATATTATCAATCATAGTAAGTTTTATTTATTATATGATACATTAGGTTCTTCAGCTTGTCAATATATTATCAATCATAGTAAGTTTTATTTATTATATGATACATTAGGTTCATCAGCTTGACAATATATTATCAATCATAGTAAGTTTTATTCATTATATGATACATTAGGTTCTTCAGCTAGTCAATATATTATCAATCATAGTAAGTTTTATTTATTATATGATACATTAGGTTCATCAGCTTGACAATATATTATCATTCATAGTAAGTTGTATTTATTAGGTTCACCAGCTTGTCAATACATCATCAATAAGAGTAAGTATCTGACGGCGAAAAATTTTCTCCACACGTCTATTCATAAATATCTTTTTACTTTTTATTGTAGCAAACATTACAACATTGATATGTGATAAATGTAGTAAAGCAGAATTAATCTTACAAGATACCAAGAATATAAAATGTCTGAAACACATGATAGTAATAGAAAAAATAACAGATAAGATTAAAGAGCTGGCTAAACAAGGGAATATTCACCTACATCAATTTACAGATATACAGGTAAACTTTTTATATACCCGTGAAACATACAATATGAGAAAGAAAATCACGAAATAGAAAGATTCTTAAGAGGTAGGGTGGTAGTGCAATCAATCAACGATCCTGAAAGTATAAATATATATTATTATGTATTTGAGAATACTTGGAGTTAGGTTTTTATTTCAGGAAAACGGTAAAATCAATCCAGTTGAGCCAGTGGTGAGTTTTTTTGTGAATTAATATTCTAATGTGAACCATTCAAATGTTATATTTGAAGAAAAACTAAGTCTTTAATATATGTACATGTAATAAGGTTCATAAAAACTGTTTCTTTGATTTTGATTTTACATATTGTCTGTGGAAGATCGTAAAACCCTAAAAACAATTTGATTTCCTGCAGGGGATTCTGGTAGAGCAAGTAGGATGTGTGGATGCGTCGCTCAGAACAAAATGTCTATCACAAGCACTGGACGTTGTTTTAGTGTAGTATATCCGAGGAAAATTTTTAAATTTTAATACAACAACACTATACAACTGAAAATATTTTGTATTCTTCATTATAGTTACCTAAACCCGATGATTTAGCTACTATATGTTATACTAGTGGTACGACAGGTAACATACAGTCATTTTATTTTACATATACATATTTATTGTCAGTTAAAACAGTTAATCGGAGTTTCACGCTATATGATCTTCAGATTTTATATATTATATGTGTTTTGTAATTTTAGGTGATCCTAAGGGTGTTATGTTAACACATAAAAATTTAGTTTCCAATATATCTGCTATAATAGCTCATGTTAAGGTAATGATATTTATTGAGCCGAATGCTAATTTTTTATCATTATCATTTAACTGTGATTGCGTTTTTTGTCCGATCAAGAATTCCCTACAGTGAGAGGAAATCGTATAAAAAGTGTTACCCCAATTACCGCAATAGTGCCTGTAAACAATAAATCACATTTACCACAAAAGGAGTTATTACCACATTATGGGTTTTCAGCAAAATTATCACATTTACCACAATATGGGTTGTTACCACAAAACATGTTGTATTTGAAATGAAATCATCTTTTTTTATTACTATTCTACTAAGATCGCATGAAAATTATTTTTAGAAATAGCAATTATTAATTCCGAACAGAACGTTGAGTAATGAAGACGGAAGATCCAATTTTTTCCCCGATTAATGAACAGATTCATTGCTTTCAGAGCGTAATAAAATTACGCATGGGAAGGGTTAAGATCGCATGATATTTCTCGAAATTTAACAAACTTTCGGCTTTAAGATATCATTTATATTTTCATGTATGTTGCAGCCAAATGTGGAAATGACTCCAAATGATGTTCATCTATCATACCTTCCTTTAGGTCATATTTTTGAAAGAGGAATGCAGGTAAGAATAATAAACAACCCCAGATACGACATTGTGTTGTATGTTCCATTTAAAGTCATAGACAATTCAAAACATAATTAAAAGCGATCTAATTTAGTATAATTCATGGTATTTGAAACTGCTCGTAAACCGTTCTTGTTCACATACATTTGTTTGATATATTGTACAATTTTCAAAGAACCAGGATAAAGATTTAAGACTATATTATTTAACTGGCCCTTGGAGATGACATCAATCCAAGTAATTGGGTCATCTTTTACATCTTTGTGGCATTACCTAGACATTGTATTATAATTTGATTTGTGGTATACTAGGACCACTAATTATGATTGTCTAAATAATCAAGAAATCTTCTTTGCAATTCAGTTATTAATGTTCATGAATGGGGCACAAATAGGGTTTTATCAAGGTGATAACAAGCTATTAACTGATGATTTACAAGCATTGAGACCAACTATTTTCCCTACAGTACCTCGATTATTAAATAGAATTCACCAAAAGGTAAGGCATTTTAAAGGGCCCTTACCAAAGAGATGTTATATAATAAGTATGTGTAGGCCTATTTTACAATGTCAACCTATTGGGATTGATTGTTTGACCCAATACAGCATGTAGTCTTGTTGTATGTTGTAAAAAGTTGCCTGGACTGGAGACAAAGATGTCACCGCTAATGCTATTACCTCCTGGGGTCGTAATGGAACAAAAGGGTATAGTACCATTTACTTTACTCTAGAATTATCTGGACAGGTCTATTGTTACCTATAAGTACTTACTATAAGATTAACATTTTGGGTATTGTAAATGAGTACTTGGTAACAATAGAAAATAGACTAGTGTCTCCAGATGTCGGCCCAAATTTGGAGTTGGAAAACGTTTGCTGCAATAAGAAATTGGAATGTTCTTATTATGTATGATCAAACGAAATAATAAATAATTTTTGTCATTTTTCAAAATGAAATTTTGTGATAATATTTATCGTATGCGTTTAGATAGCACCATGTTATTTCTTTTTAAATTCAACTTGGTCTATGCGATATGCCCTACCATTGAAATCTTGGATTCATATTTCGCAGAATCGTACCAATTTCTTCATTTTATCACGTTCCTTTAGCAACGGTACGATGATTATACACATTTATCATTATCATCGTACCATTGCTAAAGGAACACTAGTCCTCGTGGCAGTCAAGTTTGGTATAAATATATAATATATTATGTAATATTTCACAGACAAAAATGATAAACGGTTAAATCTCAAGATAGTCCTAGATCTGTATAGGATGGTTTAAAGATAAAAGGGCCTAAATTTAAATTTCCTCGAATTTTGTGTATTGCAAAATTCCAATATAACAGGAGCATCAAGATTTTCTGTCTCTACGCTAGTCTAAAATTGTCAGAAGTAACTGTTATGGTATAGGTAGGCTATGGGGTAGTCTAGTATGTATCATTCTGATTTTAATTCTCACCAAAATGAACACAATCCAGTATAGTTAAAATTAGACCCTACTTCGGTGTCTTGGTTTCTCCGACATCCTCCGAATCCACCGCCTCTCCGACAAGTCTAGATATTCGCTATAATCAGGAAAACACGCTAATAACGTTACATTAATTTAGTTTTAAGTAGGCTGTCATGTGGGCGTAATCAACGCTTTTCATGCCAACGTTTATAAAGTTTTATTTGTGTCTATCGGTCATTTATTAAATGTTATCTATATTTAAGGTTATAAATGAACTAAACAATAGTAAACTGAAATCATGTTTATTAAACTGGGGTTTACAAGCAAAGTCAAAGGAAATTCAAAGGTGAGCTTTGTAATTTCAAGAATACATCTTTACCAAGTATTCAATGTAAAATGCGCAAACTAGTTGCAATATTTACAGCAATAAGATATAAAAAGAGCGGGATAATGCCATTGTCCGGCAAAATTTCCCTCATTGCACCCTGCATGGCGTCGCCCGTCTTCATTAGCCCACAAGGTGCAGAAAAGTAGGACGTAAAATTCCATTCACTTCATTTTTTTTACAGTGATATAATAACAAAGAATAGTATATAACTAACTAGTATTATTAGTATTGTTCTGTATTTACAGTGGTATAATGAGAAGAAATAGTGTATAACTAGTATTATTAGTATTGTTCTGTATTTACAGTGGGAAATTGAGAAGAAATAGTATATAACTAGTATTATTAGTATTGTTCTGTATTTACAGTGGTATAATAAGAAGAAATAGTATATAACTAGTATTATTAGTATTGTTCTGTATTTACAGTGATATAATAAGAAGAAATAGTATATAACTAGTATTATTAGTAGTGTTCTGTATTTACAGTGGTATAATGAGAAGAAATAGTATATAACTAGTATTATTAGTATTGTTCTGTATTTACAGTGGGAAATTGAGAAGAAATAGTATATAACTAGTATTATTAGTAGTGTTCTGTATTTACAGTGGTATAATGAGAAGAAATAGTGTATAACTAGTATTATTAGTATTGTTCTGTATTTACAGTGATATAATAAGAAGAAATAGTATATAACTAGTACTATTAGTGTTGTTCTGTATTTACAGTGATACAAGAAGAAGAAATAGTATATAACTAGTATTATTAGTGTTGTTTTCTATTTACAGTGATACAAGAAGAAGAAATAGTATATAACTAGTATTATTAGTATTATTCTGTATTTACAGTGGTATAATGAGAAGAAATAGTATATAACTAGTATTATTAGTATTGTTTTGTATTTACAGTGGTATAATGAGAAGAAATAGTATATAACTAGTATTATTAGTATTGTTCTGTATTAACAGTAGTATAATAAGAAGAAATAGTATATAACTAGTATTATTAGTATTGTTCTGTATTTACAGTGGTATAATGAGAAGAAATAGTATATAACTAGTATTATTAGTAGTGTTCTGTATTTACAGTGGTATAATGAGAAGAAATAGTATATAACTAGTATTTTTAGTATTGTTCTGTATTTACAGTGGTATAATGAGAAGAAATAGTATATAACTAGTATTATTAGTAGTGTTCTGTATTTACAGTGGTATAATAAGAAGAAATAGTATATAACTAGTATTATTAGTATTGTTCTGTATTTACAGTGGTATAATGAGAAGAAATAGTATATAACTAGTATTATTAGTAGTGTTCTGTATTTACAGTGGTATAATGAGAAGAAATAGTATATAACTAGTATTATTAGTAGTGTTCTGTATTTACAGTGGTATAATAAGAAGAAATAGTATATAACTAGTATTATTAGTATTGTTCTGTATTTACAGTGGTATAATGAGAAGAAATAGTATATAACTAGTATTATTAGTATTGTTCTGTATTTACAGTGGTATAATGAGAAGAAATAGTATATAACTAGTATTTTTAGTATTGTTTTGTATTTACAGTGGTATAATGAGAAGAAATAGTATATAACTAGTATTATTAGTATTGTTCTGTATTTACAGTGGTATAATAAGAAGAAATAGTATATAACTAGTATTATTAGTATTGTTCTGTATTTACAGTAGTATAATAAGAAGAAATAGTATATAACTAGTATTTTTAGTATTGTTCTGTATTTACAGTGGTATAATAAGAAAAAATAGTATATAACTAGTATTATTAGTAGTGTTAGGGTGTATTGAGACGAGTCTCAATGAAAGCACTGGCCTAGGTCACAGAGCAATAGATAAGTCTAGTATTATTAGTATTATTCTGTATTAACAGTGGTATAATAAGAAGAAATAGTATATAACTAGTATTTTTACTATTTTTCTGTATTTACAGTGGTATAATAAGAAGAATAGTATATAACTAGTATTTTTAGTATTGTTCTGTATTTACAGTGGTATAATGAGAAGAAATAGTATATAACTAGTATTATTTGTATTCTTCTGTATTTAAAGTGGTATAATAAGAAGAAATAGTATATGACTAGTATTTTTAGTAGTGTTTTGTATTTACAGTGGTATAATGAGAAGAAATAGTATATAACTAACTAGTATTATTAGTATTATTGTGTATTTACAGTGGTATAATGAGAAGAAATAGTATATAACTAGTATTATTAGTATTGTTCTGTATTTACAGTGGGAAATTGAGAAGAAATAGTATATAACTAGTATTATTAGTATTATTGTGTATTTACAGTGGTATAATGAGAAGAAATAGTATATAACTAGTATTATTAGTATTGTTCTGTATTTACAGTGGGAAATTGAGAAGAAATAGTATATAACTAGTATTATTAGTATTGTTCTGTATTTACAGTGGTATAATGAGAAGAAATAGTATATAACTAGTATTATTAGTATTGTTCTGTATTTACAGTAGTATAATTAGAAGAAATGGTATATAACAAGTATTGTTCTGTATTTACAGTGGTATAATAAGAAGAAATAGTATTTGGGACAAGATATTATTCAATAAGATACAGAATTTACTAGGTGGTAGAATTAAAATGATTATGACTGGTTCAGCACCATTATCAGAAGAAGTGTTAAATTTTGCAAGATGTGCTTTTGGATGTATCGTACGTAGATTTCCATGCTAACACAATTTTATTTGTTAAGGGATATGTTTGTCAAAATATCAATTTTTACCAGCTGATAGACATTATTGCAGCTATCTGTATCACATTTCACAATCAAAATCCGTTGTCAATAGATCGCTTATCATTAGAAAATATACTGTTAAAGTTTAGATTGTTTTCATTTCGAGGATATTATTAAAGGGATTGCAAATAGGTTTTCTTAACTTTTTACTGATAGCATCGATTTGCACGATTCTAATTTCGTGTTAAACATTTTATGACGTCACTATCGCAAAATAACTAATGGCCTTTGCAATAGGCCGACGCCATAATTGGCTTTTTTAAAGTAGCATTCCAACAACCATAGACTTACTTGAAATTGGTGCTTTCAGTGTCCCCGACACCCTTACATGGTTTTAAAAACCTCTTTACAATCCCTTTAATTTGATATATATGTGCATTATGTATTACAAACATATTAATAAGAGATATTAATAACCCTTGGAAATAGATATAATTTATTCTCGTAGTGATACAAACTGATCATCATTGTGTAATTATGAATAATATAGGTTATTGAAAGTTATGGTCAAACAGAAGCATCCTCAGGAATAGCATGCAATATTCCTGGAGAAACAGTTCCAGGTAGGAAATGTTTAGATTTTAGTTAACCTGGACTTAAACAAGCTCAGTGCCAGATATATTTTTTTTACCCCAATTATTTGTTTTCAATTATAAATCACATTTTATACCCCACAAACAATTGAACACATTTGTGCTTATGTTTCACATTTTTTTGTAATGATCCCTTCCATGAATTTAGTCTTATGTGAAGAGGATACCATATCGCAAGTTTTTATCCGTTTTTTCAAAATGAAATGAATGGAGTTTTACGTCCTACTTTTCTGCACCTTGTCGGCTAATGAAGACGGGCAACGCCATGCAGGGTGCCATGAGGGAAATTTTGCCAGGACAGCGGCATTAGCCTGCTCTTTTTCGATTTCCAACTGTTTATGGATCTTTAATGTGCACAGCCTGTAGCACATGGGGCCTCGGTTTATTGTCCCATCCGAACGACTAGACGCTTTTCCATGTCAGCCCCTCTTACCTGCATCACTGACAGGAGGAAATCGGGTTGAAAAATCCGAAGGTATTATCTCGACCTATGCGGGGATTGAACCATGGACCTTCAGGTTAGCGAGCAACCGTCTAATTCACTGAGCCACCGCGGCTCCATCCGTTTTTTTTTTCAAGAGCAATATCAACTATCAGCTACTGAAATAACCTCTGTCTAAAAGGCAATGCTTTGTATATGTATATTTAATGGTGGCTGTTGTTTTTAGGGCATGTTGGTGGACCACTAAAATGTACTAAAATTAAACTGGTTGATGTACCAGAAATGGATTATTATGCTGCGAAAGGAAGTGGTGAGGTTTGTGTTAATGGCATATTTAACCAATTTGAAAGTATTTGGTCAAAATTAGCCTGTGTAAAGTCGAAATTATTTTGCCAGAATGTGTTTTAATCTTGAAATGAATATCAGAGCATAAAAAACGAAACCTATGTACAGTATTAAAATCCACATATTAAATAAGAATAATAACTTGCCATTAGACCTACAAAGTACCCGAATCTGTTCAATATGTTTATTTTGAATTTTTTAGATACTGTTCAAAGGTCACCATATGTTTCAAGGTTATTATAAAAACCCAGAGAAAACAGCTGATACTATAGATAAAGATGGTTGGGTCCATACTGGTGATATTGGTACATGGTTACCGGTCAGTAAGGGTCTTGTTTTCTCCGTAAAAATATAATTTGTTTGTTAACGTTGAAAAGAAACACATTTTTCTCCAAGAAATTTCACCAAAAAATTGTTTTCCTGAAAATTGTGCGCTAAACAAAACAAATTTTGAAGAACAATTTATGTGTGCACATTTTTATATTTTACATCATTCTAGCAGTTCTTTATTTAGGCTGACATTCCAATTCTCTTAAAAAGTATAGAAAAACGTTAAAAATATTGACATAGGCTTACAGAGCTCTTTAAATGATATTACTTTTTTGTAGAATGGTTGCCTGAAAATAGTTGATAGAAAAAAAAATATATTCAAATTAGCTCAGGTAAAATTTACAAATGTGTCCTTTATTATCTAATAGTATAATTATATTCTTTTTTGGGCAATAAAAATATTTTCATGATACTATTACACAGTAAATTGGACTTACCAGGTGCCATGACTAAAGAGTATAATCTGTATATTATACCAGATATATCCATTGAATTAAAAATTTATTAAAAACGCCTCTAAGTATGTATCGAAATTACTTAGTTTTATGGATTATTACTTAGTTTTATGGATTTACTATCGTATAGTGTTGACAACAAGTAAATCCACTGATGAACAAAAACTCATTTCGGCCAGGTTTAAAAATTTAAATTAAGTCTTTAAGCTTTCTAACTGCTATTTTATAAGAATCACTAAGAATGTTTCGTTTGCTTCATATTAAACCGCACAAGGGATTATTTTTATTTGCAAGATAAAATTTACATCTTGTATATTATATAGGGAGAATATATTGCTGCTGAAAAAATAGAAAATATTTATCAAAGAAGTCCATTTGTTGCTCAATTGTTTGTGGATGGAAACAGTTTAAAGGTACGTTTTGTTTGAAATTAGATGTTTATATTGTTCAAATTTCAGATGACACTGAACTAAATTTGGTTATACTTTCTTGTTGTTATTAAATCGAATCAAAATTTCCGCTCCCATGTATTTCGCTCTTCTGTTCAGTTGACCTTCTGTATGTTTGTACATTGATATTTACTTGTAAATACTCTATAGTGAGCATGTCTGGATGAAACTTGGTACAAAATCAATTCAAAAAATACAGTTTATGATGATGTTTTGAAGTTAGTGTTGCTCCTTACTATTTCGAACATGAGTGTAAGTGTGTCCGATCACCTTACGTTTTGAGCCAGGTTTCATGAAATTTAATGAAATTGCACGTTTTATCATGACGACGAGGACGTGGACCATTATGCTTAGGCCTATCTTTAATATTTCCTCCAATAATAAACCAAAAATATAATTAGTATGACAAATGGTTTCTATATAATTTGTAGAGTTGTGTTATGGCTGTGGTTGTATTAGATGAAGAATATATGTCTCAATGGTCCAATAATAATAATAATAATATTACAGATGAGGTAAATTTATGACAGATGGATAACAAACTTAATATACAGAACTACCGTAACATCTTGTTATACTCAATTGTTGCTAATGGTTACTGGAAGTGATCAAAACCACATAATAATCAATATACAATATAACAAACACACCAATTCAAAAGCACATGAACATTACTATAAAGGCAATTGAACCAAAATAGTGGGTTCATATCAAAGTAATAAGTATACCACTTGTCTCAATGCTTTCAATAATTTTCATGAGTAATTTTTTGTATGGGACACTGGATATTTCTGCAATCCATATTGACATAGATTTTGATGCTGTTGAAAAATACAAAACATGATTACATGTATTGTTTTTACCAGGATATAAAGCAAGTAGTATATAAAGATATGATAAGATGTGGTAAAGAAGCACAATTAAAAGGTTTTGAACAGGTAATTAGCCAAACGAATCACAGAGTCTGGGAGGGTAGAAGTAGTATGTCTTTTCGGATATGACGCATTTCACTTCTGCGCATGCGCAGCTTTTTCAATGCGTCATATCCGAAAAGACACAACTGTTAAAATGTATTATAACAGACTCCCGAAACTGTTAAAAATGTACTATAACAGACAAGAATCACTATAATAATACAGTAAAAAATAACCGCATTAAAAATGTCTTAATTTTAAAACACGAAAAAAAAAATTCGAAGGAGACGGTTTCTTCTCTGCGCTAACATCTCTCATCCCCAAAGTGGCCAATTTTGTCTCAAACAACAAATCCCTCATTTCCTCAGAAGCGCAAACTCTTGGATCTGTGGCAAAAGCAGGAGTAAATATAAGCGATGCAGTGAAAAAATCTGACGAACTTAAAGAACTGCAGCTAATAAGAGAACTAAGAAACAAGAGACTAGAACGACAAGCCCTAGAAAAACAAGGAAAAGGGTTTAAAATCATTGGATAAAAAATGGCAAGCAAAAATTACAGATTGGATCCAATGATTTTAAACCCTTTTCCTCAGGAGTAAATATAAGCGATGCAGTGAAAAAATCTGACGAACTTAAAGAACTACAGCTAATAAGAGAACTAAGAAACAAGAGACTAGAACGACAAGGAAAAAGGATTAAAATCATTGGATAAGAAATGGCAAGCAAAAATTACAGATTGGATCCAATCTTTCAATTATATGATCCGATTCAATATTCGTTCAGTGAAAAAATCTGACGAACTTAAAGAACTGCAGCTAATAAGAGAACTAAGAAACAAGAGACTAGAACGACAAGTCCTAGAAAAACAAGGAAAAGGGGTTAAAATCATTGGATAAAAAATGGCAAGCAAAAATTACAGATTGGATCCAATCTTTCAATTATATGATCCGATTCAATATTCGTTCAACAAGAAGAAAGAGGATTATATTATCATCTCACCGACTGTTGGTTCTAAATCTCAATTGAATGATGGTGGTAGAATTACCTTCGAAATAAATTCATTATCGAATTGGTTGCTTCTTTCCGATGCTTATTTCAGATGCGATTTCAAAATTAAAGAAGCCACTCAGAATCAAGTTCCACAAACCAACACAACATTAGAAAACAACTTCTTTCCATCTTTATTTAGCGAGATGGTTTTGGAAGCTGGTTCAAATCCGATAGAAACCATCAAACACCCTGGGAAATTCGACACAATGTTGAAAACAGTTTTATATCCTAAAGATTTCGATTCAGTTTCAGGCTGGATACCCGATGTTGGTGATGGAAATGTTTTAAAAGAACCGGTAAGAAATCTTGCAAATGACGCCGATTTAGCTAGAGTGAGATTTGTTGCTCGAAACACGATAGAAAGAGTAGGACGAGCAATTAATCATGGATTCGAAAAACGAGTACTTCAGTATAATAATGTTGTTGAGAATAATAGGTGGGGTAATTACGTAAATTGGAAATTATATCCTTTATTCGGTCTGTTGGAACATAGAAAAGTTTCCATAGGCTTACCATATAAAATTCATCTACAAAGAGAAATCAACAACGATAAGATATTCTTTGGAGAGAATGGTTTAGATGCAAAATTAAAAATAACGAATCTCCAACTTTACATACCCGTAATAACACCATCAATTGAAGTAGAAACGAGAATATTCAACTCATTAACTAAAGATATTGAAATAGCATTTCTTCGGCGGAACACAATAGGTAGCATGACGATTACGGGAGAATCCACCACGTGGCCAATTACAAACAGCGTCAAACCAGCGAGATATCTAATAGTTGGTTTCAAAAACTTGCCAGACTCTCAGATAAACAACAACATCATTTTCAGAGTGGCAATGAACCAAACTCAAGATCCTTTAATCCATAAAGTTCAAGTAAGATTGAACAACGAAAATTATCCTAACCAACCTTTAACAATTAATCCAACCACAAAGGATTATAATGAATTGTATAAAAATTACAAAAACATGTGTGAATTATTCGGTAATCTACCTCAATTCGAGTATGTAGATTTTGCCCTTAATCATCCAATCTTCTGTTTCGATCTTTCAGCTCATCAAGAAGATCTTTTCAAAACAGGGGTAAACATAAATATTCACATCGATAAAACATCGAGATGTGACCGCCTACTGTTTATTGCTGGAAGAAGCAAAACATTTGATTAAAATATCAGATAGAAGAATGATAAGAATTGAATAAAAAAACACCCTTTAAAAAATGAAACCAGAAACTTTAGTTATGAAAATAATAGAAGCTATGGAAACGAATTCACCGACTCTAATAACTTACAACGGTAAAAAAGTGCATATAACCCAAAAGATTATCGATAAATACAAACATTGCAAAGTCAGAGACGAGACTTGGAAAGAATTGATGAGAATTTAACTAAAAAAGGTGGATTTTTACCTTTCTTACCTTTAATCTTTGCTGGTTTAGCTGCAGCCGGTGCAACTGCTGGTGGAGCTGCTGGGATAGCCAAAGCTGTCAACGATAAGAAAGCTGAAGCCGCTGCAAACGCCGAAGCACGTAGACACAATTTGGCAATGGAAAGAGAAGCACGAGGAGGTTCGGGAGTAGGAGATATATTAGGGACGGTTAAAGAATTCGGACAAAGATTTGGCGAAGAAACCAAGAAAACCGTTAAAGAGGGATTAAGCAAATTAATAGATAAAATCGACACCGGAGAAATGAAGGTCAAACACAAGGGCAACGCCCTATTTTTTAAAAACATACGTTCGGGCGAGGGAATCTTCCTTTCAAAGTATAAAGGCAACGGGGTGATTTTTGGTACGAAAATGTAATAGATAAAAATGGGCAAGAAATTCAAACATTCGGACATATTTCCTAGTAACCCAATGCTCATGTGTATTTGCGGTAGTTCAGGTTCTGGGAAAACTCATCTCACTTTTAACATGTTGACAACACCAAACCTTTTAGATTTCGATTCTCTGTATATCTACACAACAACACCAGAGCAATCGTATTATCAATTCCTCAAAGCTTTGGAATATTTACCAAAGAAAGACGTTCAAGACATATTTCAATATTACGAAGAAAACGAAGAAGAAGTGGAAATAAAAGATATCATAGAAAACTTCATTAAATCAAAGAATCCATCTTTCAATCCAACGGATATAAAAGTTTTTCTTACGAAAAATGTTAATGATCTAGACTTGTCTAATATTGATAGCAATCGAAAGAACTTAATATTGTTTGACGACTGCGTAGCGCAAAGAAATCAAACTGTTCAACAAGAATTCTTCAACAAAGGAAGACATCACAACTGTCACTGCATATACCAATCCCAATCTTTTTACGGGATGGATTCTATGTTCATTAGAAAAAATGCAAATTGTTTTTTATTATTTGAATTAAACGATAAAGGTTTATCTCAAATCATTCAGTCTATAAATCACGGAATGGATAGAGATACATTTAAAAAGGTTTGTAAAGCTCAATGGAGAAACCCAAATGATCATGGATATGTATTTGTAAATACTAGAAAACCTGCGGGAGAAAGAGTTATGATCGATATATGTTAATTTTATTTTTTTAAAAATGACGGATTGGAATAATATTTTAAAAAGAAATAGAGAATATATCAAAGCTAAGAATAAAATAAAGACCCAAGTTGAAAATAACAGATTACAACAACTCGGATTAACGAAAAATCTACAGACTCTATTTCAACCCATATTTAAATCTCAAGAAGATATTAAAAAGAAATTAGCTTTAGAACCCACATCTCATATAGAACCCAAACCGATTGAATATAATGCTATTATAATTAGGACATTAGATGATATAAAACGTCTTTTTTCAAACCCTGACCCAGATTTACCAAAGAGCATTTCACCAATCGTTGATGATGAGGGTTTGTTGTTCAATGGTTTTAGAATAAGATTTAGTGGAAATTCACCACAATTCAAAATCGACACAAAAGACTTTATATTTACATTAACGAGAGGGTTAATAGATTTAATGAATGGCGAGGATGTTGAAATTGCCGATTACAAGGATTTAGTAGCATACTCAAAATTTCTACATGCGATCAGAAACAAGAAGATTGAAAGAAGTTGATTTTTATATAACAAAAGTTATTCCTGAGGAAGAGGAATCAGTTGATTATGCAGAAGATTATCCACCAATCATACAAGAAATAGACGAATTCGATGATATGGCATAACGTTTTTATCCGACGACAATAAAGAATTGCTTAATAGATTAGAAATAATATTAGCGGCCATGAAGGAAGGTCGTCGATCGGACAGACAATACAACGAAGTCAATGCCATATTAAAACGACTTTTGGAGAAAGAAATCATCACTAAAAAAGACTATATAAACGTCATTAAAAATGTCCAATAAAGAACAATTGTTCGTTATCACCTCGAATAAACCAGACATCAAATTGTCTCTAGACTACGAGTATGAACTCGATCGCAATAAACAGTACGAACTGGGATTAAAGTATTTCTCCGTTTACAATTCCATTAGAAACATCAACGAAAAAAACAATCAACTAAAAATATCGACGGATAACGGAGTTACGTTCGAAACCATAAGCTTACTACCGGGGAGCTACGAATACGTAGCCATCAACGAATACCTATCCTAATACGCAGGAACCGTGAACGGCAAAAACAATATCGAATTCGAAGGTAATTTGAATCTGAACAAAATAAAACTGATCTTGAGAAATAACAGTCAAGTCGATTTCAACGTAGAAAATTCGTTGAATACGTTACTGGGGTTCGATAAACGAATATACGCGCAATCGACATTGGCGCCGCACAAGGCCAACATCGAGAACGACATCGACGTGATCAACATTCACTGTAATTTGATCAACGGTGGATTTTTCAACAAGCACAAACGCCAAATCATATACAGCATACCGACTTTTACGGTGCCGATCGGATACAGAATTATAGGGAAACCGTTTCAAACGACCTATTTACCAGTCAATTCTTTCATGATCAAAGATATAAATCTGGAAATCAAAGACGGTAAAAACAGGTTCATAGACTTTGGCAACGAAGAAATTGTCATTCAACTTCATTTAAAACAATCTCCATTCTCTTCTTGAATAGTAAGATAATCGAAATCATCAAATTCATAGTTTTCGTCAAAACTATACTCATCTTTGTCGTTGTAAGGATACATAATTCCTTCACTGTTTGGTGGTTTTCTTTTAACATTATTCAAATAACTTCTAAAAACTTTAGTTTGTTTATCATTTGGAATAACTACTCCATTGGTGAAACTTTTTTCCCATGGTTTATTAAATTCGTTCGACACATCATGTCCGCTTGCTAACTGAACGTAATCTTCTACACTTATCTTATCATTAGAATAACCTTTAAACGTTTTCTTTTCTTTTAAAACACCATCAGAAGTCAAAACGATGTTGTATTTGACTTTTGGTGCTAAATATAAACCAAATAGTTGTGAATATATCTTTCTGAATTGATTTACCATACAAGGAATTACCTAATAATTTCATGCAATTACTACCCACAATATTACCTTCTCGTTTATATTTATTTCTTAAATCTCTCAAAATTAAAATATAATCTCTATAGGGTGGAGTTTTAAAATTTTCTTCGTAAACTATACCATCTAATATTCTAATAATTCGTCCACCGGCTTTCACTATTTCTTGAATATCGACCGATGTTAAAACGTCGTGACAGAAACCATTTCTGAACCTGATTTTGTTACCAGTTTCCTTTTTACCTTCTTTATTCGTGAAAGTGATTTTATCTTCAGCTGGTATCGGTTGGAAGAATATGTTTTTGGGATAGTCAAACCACACTGTTAAAATAGCTGTTCTAGATCTGAATTTTTGTTTGTTGAAGAGTTTTACAAATTCTTTTTCTTCTTCTGGTAGAAACAGTCTTCCACTTTCCGCTCTCGGATATTCACTGTCTAAATCCGACATGGCGGAAGCGTATAAACCGTTAGCATCAAATGCCATTAGTTTAGTACATTCTATTTTTTTAAGTCTCGAATGAACCTCCGTTTTGTCTTTTGTGCTTGCGCTGTATTCTTTGAATAAATCTATTATTCCTTCAGTGTTGCTTTCATTGTATTCTTTTAATATGGCGCAGATCTCATTCATTTTATTCGTTTCAAATGATTTTCGATTTGCCGAAACTCTTCCTCCTTTAATAGATCGTCTGATAAAATATCTTATAAAAGGGTGAGTATGCGAGTAAACTTTTTCTACGTTTTGTTTTTCGGTATGTTTCGCAACCATTCTAGTAGTTTCATACCATTCTTCTTCGAACAATTCTTTATCGTAATGATATAAATAATACCAACCCTTTAAAGATAAAGATGGAGCCGTTAGATTATTGGACATATTCTGGTTTACAACTTCTTTCGTGACTTGGTTGTATTTTATCAAACAAGCTCCCAAACAGAGGGTGTCTCTCTTGGCGTAAGGTTCCCATTCGTGTCTCAATTCCTCACAGTTGTCTTGCGTGTATTTAGCGATATCTACGTCGGCAATCTTTCTCAAATTCGCGGGGAGATTGGAAGAATTTCCCTATGCAACAAACTAGAGGATTCGTGTTGATAGGAACACGTGAAATTAATATGTTGTAAATAATTACCCTTTATTTCTTTCTGTCTTTTCCATTTTTTCTGTAAATCTTCATCCGTGTATGGATTAGATAAAGGAAAAGATAGAATTCCTCTGGGTGTTTTTAAAGGGCAATGCGTTAGTTTTTTTGCATTTTTAAGCACGATCCAGTTGTCGAATCCACTGCCGTTATGAGAAATTAATATTAATCTCTTTCTATCATATTGACCTAAATATTTCAACATTTGATCGATGCAATCTGTACCTACAAATATTTCTACTACATTCATTAGTTTATCATAAAATTCTTCTGGAAGGGGATCTGATGACTTTAAATCTGGAAAGAGATTATTTATTCTGTTTAACATTTTCCTTAGTTTTTCTAAATTAATTAAAGTGCAGGCATAAGGAATTGCTCTTCGACTGTTTTTTTCTGAATACGTTTCGCAATCCCAAGCGAATAACGCATCATCACTCATACTCGAAAGCACGTTTAGTTTGAGGGGTGAAACCTGTGTTACTGCGTTGTCGTCTCTACACGTTTTCCACGCCTGTTCGTAATTGTCTTCTATTTCTTGAATTCCCAAACTTTTTTGGCTTCTTCTAATCAGACAGAAATGCGAGTTGTGTAAGTACAAAACCCAATCTAATTCATCGTGAACGTCTCTGGGATGAAAATGTCTGTTTGGGATTATAAATTTGAAACGAAGTGTTGAATTTCTTGTTGAATTCCTTCATTCTAGCACAAGTCATCACTCCTTTTCTATTTGCTTTTGAAAACCCGTTGATGTATTCTTGAAATTTACACGTTAAATCTTTGTTTAAAACACGATTGACGCATTTGATGAAACAGTGACCATCTGTAAGTATGTAACAATTTTCGCCTTCGTATTCATTAATCTTTTTAAGCAGATCAGTTCCTCCTCTGCCAACTCTCGATCTTTTGATTTCTAGGAAATTGTCTTTCATTAAAATTATTTTTCCTGTAAAATACCAATCGGAAGCATCGGATTTTTTGTCCATATTTGAAAAGATATTGTGAAAAGTTTTGGCATTGAAACCGAGGAGTGACATGTATTGTCTGTGATTCCCTTCCTCGACTATCTCTCCATCTATTTTAATTTGTCCTTTGAATGTTTTAAATTTATCAGAGATAGCCTTGATAACATCGGAAAATAGGGCGTTTTCTATCATTGTTTCATGGTCTGCAAGTTCGATTTTTTTCATATTTTTTTAAGTATATATTTTTAATTATTTCTTTATTTTGACCGCTGATATTTCTGTATGGAATTTGTCCAAAATTTCATTGAATTCTTGTAATTCTTCAACTGTTATGTTCTTGCCTTCTCTCGATCTTTCGAAAAAGATGTACAATTGATTAAGATACATATTCAAGATATCCGTTTTCTTTTTATAATGAGCTTTCTTTTTACTCGTGAAGCCTATAGCAATCAAGCCACAAGATGAAGTTTGAATAGCAGTAAGTGTGGCTAATACAGTTGGGACAAGTACAGGAACCATTAATCCACCAGTCACGGCCGTTGCAAGTGTTGTTCCTATCGTTAGAACTACACTCGCTGTTTTGAAAACAGAATCGATTCTACTCCATGTTTTCCTGCATGTATTGTACTGTCTCAACTTTATTTTCAACTCTTCTTGTTTGTTTATCATGTATTGTTGTCTGCTTTCGAGTTCCATTTTTTAAGTCGTTAAATTAAGTGAATTTCCGATAAAGGGAACCACGGAATATCGTATAGAACGTACTTGTTTGGCCTAGCATTATTATATTTGCGGGTATTAAAAGTAAAAACATTTACGCGTACTAACGACATTTCTTTTTTCGTATGGTCCTCGTTAAGATGATAGGAATATTTTATTTTTTCTTTTTCGATGTTTATCTTGAAATAAAACCACCAGCATGAAGGATGGAGTCGGAACCTTCGGCAAACGTTAAATGTACTATAAACTCTCGTTCTTGTTGACTTTTATGAACATCGATCGAGGTGTATTTTCCACCTAAAACAAAATACAGTTTTACGTATTCAAAGTCTGTTGTTCGTAAAAACTCGTGTCTGCTCGATTCTATTTTTCCGGGTACGTGTAAGCGTCGTGGAATTTTGATTATTTTAGATGATGGTGGATTTTCCGTTTCCAATATCATATCCAAATCTTTGATTCCAATGATATTCATAACATTTTCTACTTCCAATTTAAAGGTGTCTACATATTTACCATTTTTCGTTTCAATTTCCTGATCCCTTTTATCAATCAAACGTATATTCTCTTCCAAATTACCATCATTGAATAATGAAATATGTTTGACGGCCTTACCGGTTTGTTTGAAGACTACTTTATTGACTTTAACCTTCATGGGAAACTCTATTTGAATCAGACAATTACCTCGCTTCCGTTTCGCCGATATCGAATACGTTTTTAGGTTCTCCGGCTACGCTAGAATTCACTTTTATTTCTGATTTGAATCCGTATTTTTCTGATTTATAAATTTCGTCTTTTCCATCAAAGACAGTGTCACTTTCGAATGGAAGATTGAAATAATACGATTTGACCGTGACAATAGCTTCTAATTTGCTCAACTTTCTCTCTTGTCTCAAAAAATCGTCATGAATTCTAGATACTAAAAGATTGACCTGTTCTTTAATATAATTTTGCATATCATCTCGAAATTTATTTTGAAGAAAGTTTTTAATCACACCCACTTCTTTTTCTAATTCGTCCGTGATTTTAGTATCCAAAGCAGTCAATTGTCGTTTCAACGTATCTTTGTCTATGGGAAGTGTGTTAATTATATCTTGAACATCTGATTTTTGCTTCGCGATCTTTTCGTTCAAATTGGATATCGAATTTTGTAACTCGGTTTTGTCCGCGGTCTTGTCTAGTTCTGCTAGCATTTCGCCAAGTTTTCTTTCCAAAGCGGTTAGTTTTCGTTTCAATCTATCCTCGTTTACATTTGGGTTGTCTATTAAACGTTGGACGTCTATTTTTACCTTCGTAATCTCATCGTCTAATTTAGATATTAAATTTTGCAACTGACTTGTTTTATCCACTTGAATAAGACGTTTCAAACTCGTTAACTCTTGTTGTAGTTTGGGTTCGTCCACAAGATTTTTAATATTTCGTCTGAGGTATCTTTTCACGTCATTTATTCTATTTTCAACATGGTCCTTATCTATTTGAATTGCGTTTATTTGATCCAGTAAATATTTCTTGTTCACGGCATCGTTATCGTTTCCTGGAAACTTTAAATTGGTTATTTTGAAATTGTTCATATCGATATCCCCTTGTATAAGGTGTCTCCGATTTGATCCACGAAAAAAGCTTTCGCTTTGTTTATAAACGCCGTAAAACTCATGGGATTTTTAGATTCTAGAGGTAAAGACCCTAATCCAAACTTGTTTGCCATTTTTATTGAGTTAAATTTATTATAATTTCTTCAAACTTTTCTCCCAAACTCAACCGATATAAAACCCAAAGCGACAGTTGTCCACACAGCTTTTGTCCTGGCATTTGAATTTGAAACGTAGAACATTTGATTGGTTTGCTAGTCAATTTCGTTATCTCTTCTGTCGGTTCTAGACCGAAAGAATCAAAGAAATAAAAGTTATTCGAAGAATCTTTGTGTAGAGCAGAGTGATGAACTCCTTTTTGATCCGACGTGTGAATGTTTGTGATGGCGTAAAATTTACCTTTCTTGTATTTCAGTTCATCAATTTCATCTCGCATGCAATAATTAAATGGCGAGACGTTCAACTCCTTGGCCCATTTCACAAGTTGAAAATTTGTGGTCGTGTCTTTTCCGTATTTATCGAGAAATGCATTCATTTTTTAATTTGATTTTTTTAGGTGTTTTTCGAAGTAGGCGGAAAGTATTGCTGAAGACCCAATTGACGAAATATATACGTAGTTTGTGTTTGAAAAAACTTGTATAACATTCTGATAAAACACATTCAGTAATATTTTGAAGATAAATTTACATTTAAATTTAAAAAATCTTAATTTAAGAGAGCGTAAATGCTTGTCGACATCTAAATTTCTTAACCTTTCATCTAAATCTTCATTTTCGAGATTCATTTTTAAAAGTCAGTTTTTTGAAGTTCATTTTGATAAAACCTTCCTCTGATTTGTTCTTTGTCTTGATCGATCAATTCATACGTGGGAGGTGATGTGTTGTTTACTTTATCAACGATGAATATCTCGTTAGTCCAATAGCCGACGTAACCTTTCTGAAACAATGATTTATATTTAAAAATACGAACTCGATCTCCAACTTTGAATTTGGGTTTAATATTCAAATTGCTAATCTCGTTTTCAAAGTTGTTTCGAGTGTTGACGGACTTTATGATATTCGGGTTATTAGAGGATTGGGATGGCGTCACACCTATAGACGAATGTATTTTGTTATTGTATTCGTCGACAACAACCGGTAATATTTTAAGCCATTTTTGAGATTTCAATTCCGTGAATTTCTTGAATAATTTGCTTTTAATAGTTCTGTTGAATCTTTCTATCACTACGGCTTTACCTTCGTTATGCGTGCTGTAAATTTCAAACCCCAGAGATTTCACATTTCTGTTGTAGAATTCGCTTCCTTTATCAACCCACAACTTTAGGGGTCGTCTGTCGGATTGTTTCATTATGGTTTCGAATGCTTGTTTGACAGTCAGACCCGATTTGTTTTTCAAGGGAAAGACCCAAGCATATCTCGTGTATAAGTCGATCACCGTCAAACAATACTTGTACCCTCTCTCGACTGGCATGTTGATTAAATCGGCTGACCAAATTTCATCTTTATCAAAAACTTTGACTTTGAGGTAATGTTTGTTTTTTCGGAATTCTTTGTGAATCTCGTCTGCTATGCCCATACCCAATTTCAATTTTGCCTTCAAGAGTTTTATGATAAGAGCCCTCTGTAATTTCTCTTTGAAAGTGGGATTGGGAATATTTTCGAGTTCGTCTATCATTTGTTTGTCTGCTTGGTGTCTGAATGTTACGTCTTTATTTCTGTACAGTATGTCGTGTTTGAGTGCTGCTGCGTCAACTCTATTAACGGGTTCTTCCCCTGGTTTGGGAATATCATATTCGTCTAAACGCAGATCTAACCTAGTGCCTGGACCTGTATAATTGTGACCTGGGAGATGTTTTTCTCCGGGATATTTTGCCCATGGGAATCCAGGAAGAGAACCCAATGACTTTTGAATGTCTCCCGCACCGAAATACGTTTTAGGAGGATGGACATTTATTAAAGACATATTTGTTCAATAAACACCATATATTTTTAATACGAAAGATTTAATACAAGGAGAAAACTATTCAAGCGATAGAAATGAATCACTTTACGAAATGTCACGAGCGATCCTAATAAGAGCGGTCATATAAGAGTAGTTTGAAAAATGAGGTCACGAGCGATCCTTATAAGAGCGGTCATAGTTATCTCCCGTCTTACACTATTGGCAGTCATAATTTAAAGGTCACGAGCGCTCTTATTAGGATCGCTAGATATGCGTCATCCCTTTGTTCTTCACCACTTGTTCTATTTTCGAAAATCTGTATCAACAATTTTGAAACCTTAGATATTTTCACAGAGTTTGGTAAAAAATTCTTGGCCTTTTTCTATCCCCTTACCGATGGTTTAAAAATCTTCGTGATATGAAATGTTGGCGTCTAATAAAACTTGTGACTGGAATAAAACAAAAATTGATATTTTGAAAAAAACAGCAAATTAATCTTAATTCCACCCTGTCGTCTTATGATTAAATCAAACAAAAAAAGAACATACCTTGATTTTTGTATGATTAAATTCCTAATCTTCAACAAAAACATGGCTAACAGTTGAGAGTCTAGACTGTCTGTGCTGACGTTGCACGCGTGATATGTTAATTATAGCGTGACTGTTACTAGGCGTTAAAGGTAATTTATTAAATCAATAATGGACTCACTCCACTAATTCATTTGCCATCTCTTCCCATGTTAAAACACGAAATTCAACCTTCTATAACTTTTTCCAGAAATCTCGTTGAAAGCTTTCCAATATGTCGAATGAAAGCCTGACCAATTCTCAATGTCTCCTAAAAAATTCATTATATGATGACCATGAAAATTTTGAGCTACTAAAATTGAAAGTAGACTACTACCGGTTATACTCATCCGCTAGAGTTTGGCACTTCACAAAACGACTATTTTTAGAATTAGCCTTCCGCCTTTAAGTCTCTCATCATCTCACCAAATCTGAAAGATAATGCAATTTCAGACATCAAATTCCAAATCTAGACCAAATTTTACCCAAAAATAGGCAGGCAAAAACCCCAAAAGGGAGAGAGAAAGAAGATTTCTAAAAATAGCCTGGACTACATTCCTTTGCATAAAATGTTTTAGTGGAGTGAGTCCTAATACTCTAGACTACTAACTGTGTATAAACAGTGTTACCTCCCATTAATCAGTTGAGGTTTTTATTTCGCATTTCTCTTATATGTTGTAATTCTTTCAACTCGTTAGATCTTTTCACTGCATCGCTTATATCTACTCCTGGGGAAATTTGTTGTTTGAGACAAAATTGGCCACTTTGGGGATGAGAGATGTTAGCGCAGAGAAGAAACCGTCTCCTTCGAATTTTTTTTTTCGTGTTTTAAAATTAAAGACATTTTTAATGCGGTTATTTTTTACTGTATTATTATAGTGATTCTTGTCTGTGGTTTGGGTAATTTATAATACAGTTTGGAGGAGTTTGTTATAATACAGTTTGGGGAGTCTGTTACAGTACATTTTTAAAAGTTTCGGGAGTCTGTTATAATACATTTTAACAGTTGTGTCTTTTCGGATATGACACATTGAAAAAGCTGCGCATGCGCAGAAGTGAAATGCGTCATATCCGAAAAGACATATACTACTGGTAGAGCACCTAATCTAAATGGGCATATGACATTCTGGGCCTAATTAAAAGCCGTGGTTTCTCACCAAGTTAGCCGCATAATCCATAATCTGAAATTTTAGCGTTGAATTCCAACATAAATCGACGTGATACTTTCAAATTCAACCTTTTTTGAGTTTCGTAGGTGTTGACATGGAAAATACATATACATATAGTCGTGCGGACTGGACAATTACTATCTGAGTAGGTTTGTGTCGCTGTTCTGGCAACATTTCACACATCGCACACACTACATGGCGTTGTCAGTTTTCATCAGGTGTGCATGATCGGACGTATACTCTAATTGGCTGTATTCGTTACCGTACAATACAATCAAATTGCTACATTTACAAATTTCCGTAATATAAGAAGGGTGCCGTCAAGGTATAAGACAGCTTGACATGGTGATGATGATGTGACATTTGGTTGATGAATACAATTTAGTTATGTTTCTCAAGGCACGTGATGAGGGTGGGGTAAATATGTCAATAATGATATGTGTAAAAACTTACTTCAATTATAATGTTATAATTTGTATTTTACAGGTGAAAGATATCTATCTACATTCTGAACAATTCTCAGTAGAAAATGGTTTACTAACACCAACATTTAAGAATAAACGACCAGCATTACATAAACAGTTTAAAAAAGAAATTGAAGAATTATACAACAAATTAAATGAATGATGTACATTGTACATGTATTTAGTAAATTGAAGCCATGGTTTGCCATTTTTGGGGGTTGATTTGGGCCTTGAATAAAAAAAATATAGAATCCATTTTAGAGTAGGGTGGGGGTCAGACAGACAAATTTTGAAAATAATGAGCTTATATATTGCATTAAATTTATTTACATAAATTACAAAAATAATGCATATCACATATCCAGATAATATCAGGTGCCCTGGTTCCTTACATTCTAAATTCCCCGTGTGCTATTAATATTAAAAATAATGCTATAGGTTGGTACCCCTGTTCTTCTTTAACCTAACAGGGTTCGATCCCCGTACAGAAAGTACCTTCGGAATTTTTCAACTCGGTTTCCCCTTGTCAGGTTGAAGGTATGCAAAGGGCTTTTAATCATACGGAATAGGAAAAAAACTCGAGACTTGGTGTGACATAAACTGTGCATAGCAGTAACTTATGAATAAAAAAAAGTAGGTTATTGCCGATGTCCAGGACAAATTTCCTTCATTACAGACTGCATGAGGTAGCACCATGAGCCCAAGCAAGTGCAGGAAAGTGTAAGACATAAACTTTCGTCCACCGGGGATGAAATGCATTAAGGTGCACCATCACCAAATAGGGCCTATATCACCTAAACCAATAGAGTTAGATATATAGAATTAAAATAGCACGAAGTCAACAGACAAAATAAAACGCTGCAAAACATAGATAAAGCAATATCACAGAACGAACACCATAAGTGGTAATAATCTATGATAAAAAGAACAATAAGCCACAACGTGACATTAAAGAAATTGGCGGTTGGATCCCGGAAGCAAAGGAAAACTTGGACACTTCTGGCAGCTATCGAGGGATTTTCCGCCGTGCATAGTCTGCCCGCTACAGCACTTTTACTCCAGGACACTTCCAGCGAGCAGCTTTCGTGTGATTTTCCTCTTAAAAATAAGGGTGATACTTCAGAGATGTACAGTTTGAATTTGGACTGCATATTAGCACAGATCTCAAGTTGTTCTATTCCAAATTTCAAGTTCCTTCCGTGCATAGTCTGCACTTTTACTCCAGGACACTTCCAGCGAGCAGCTTTCGAGGGATTTTCCTCTGAAAAATAAGGGTGATACTTCAAAGTCGAATTTCTCGAAAGTTTGAAAAAAATCTGATTTTCTGCTTTTGACTGAAATAGACGCAGAGCATGATCAGCTGTAATTTGCAACAAAAATTATACCTGTAAGGTCATAACTGGTCGACATATGGCCATTTTAGTGTGGTCTGACACCAGCCTCTACCGTTTACTACAGTCCTGTTGCACAGGTCGGGGTAAAAACCAAAACTGTGACAGGCTGCCATTTAAAAACTATCAGAGATGTACCGTTGGAATTTGAACTGCATATTAGCACAGATCTCAAGTTGTTCTCTTCCAAATTTCAAGTTCCTACCGTGCATAGTCTGCCCGCTACAACACTTTTACTCCAGGACACTTCCAGTGAGCAGCTTTCGAGGGATTTTCCTCTGAAAAATAAGGTAGATACTTCAAAGTCGAATTTCTCGAAAGTTTGAAAATAATCTGATTTTCTGCTTTTGACTGAAATAGACACAGAGTATGATCAGCTTTCGTTTGCAACAAAAATTATACATCTAGGGTCATAACTGGTCGAGATATGGTCATTTTAGTGTGGCGAAGGGGTCTGCAAGCAGCTTACAAAGGATTTTTCTCTGAAAAATGAGGGTCATACTTCAAGTCGAATTTCTTGAAAGTTTGAAAATAATCTGAATTTCTGCTTTTGACTGAAATAGACACAGGACATGAAATGGATAGAAGACATATTGAACTTTCGTTTGCAACAAAAATTATACCTCTGGGGTCAAAATTGGCGAAGTTATGGCCATTTTAGTGAGGGGGTAGGGGTCGGCAGTCTACCTATAGTCTAGTTGCACTGGTTGGGGTGAAGACCAAAACTTTGACAGGCTGTCGTTCGAAGACTATCAGAGATAGAAAGTTGAAATTCGCACTGGAGGTAAACATCCATCGGAAGTTGCTATGTTCCAAATTTCAGCTCCCTAACTCTGCCAGTTACAGCACTTTTGGTCTCAAACTTTTTCCCCAAACCAAAAATTTCCTCTGGAAAAATTCGGGTGAAACTTCAGTAGATTTTATCGAAAGATTTCAAAAAATCCGAATTTCTGTTTTCGACTAAAATAGATAGCAGACATGTTAAACTTCCGTTTGCAACAAATTATACCTCTGGGGTCAAAATTGGCAAAGTTATGGCCATTTTAGTGAGGGGGGGGGGTCGGCAGTCCGCCTATAGAGTCTAATTGCACTGGTTGTGGTGAAGACCAAAACTTTGATACACTGCCGTTCGAAGACTATCAGAGTGGCATCAAAGCAAACACCCTGCCTGGAACCATTTAATAGTAGTGTAAAATATAATCACAAAAATGTATTACAATTTTTTTCCAGCTCTGCTCTTGAAATTTGCTCAAATTATTTATGTTGGGTAAATTCCGAGGCCAAAACACTAGCTGAGAAATTTTTTCTTGAGTATTTTTGTACTCAATCTGAAAATTTTTAATCATAGTCCATATATATTCTTAAGTCATAGGCATGTAATGTAGGCTAGAATAATACCTTTTTGATATATTGATATCCTTTTTCTGTGGTCCCACAATGAGGATCGGATGTTCGGATTATAATGATATTTAGCGGCTTGATAATCGTGTACAAAAATAGCTGGGTTGTGTCCCTTGACTATGTGTTGATAAATTTAGAAAAACGAAAATAAATATTTTCATGAAATCATGAATTTAAGCCCATCTAATTCCTATGGAAATGGGCTACTATTTGCAGGATGGAATCAAGATCAAGGTATCGATAGATATGTCAATATTTTGCTTACTTTGGGACTCAAAACGTGATGTTGATGTCAAAAACGTGAAGTATAAAACCCGGAACTCCTCCCACTTTTTTGTTTTATTTTTGAAACTTTTACATTAAAGCATAGAAATTGTGAATATCCAGTACAAATCGGTAAATTTTTTCAGGATGTTTTGCATGTGGAATGGAAACAGGTTTTAGAGTTTATAATGCTGATCCATTGAAAGAAAAGGAAAGACAAGGTACATTTATTATATTAAAATACTGAAGCCTAGCCTTAAGCCTTTTATGAGTACACCTTAATAAGTTAAAAGCTTACTATGCCTAATACTGGACCTAATTATGATAATAATAATTTATTACAAAATAGTACAAAATTATACCATATGATACCAAGATCAGATCCTAATTACACACCGCTAGTCAATATGTTTACAGAATATTGAAATAACCCTAATAAATACGACTTGAAGTCTTGATTGTCTTTGGGTGTTCAATTACAGTAAAGTAAAATAATCACAGATTATATGAATTAAAGATGGTCTCCTTAAGATGGTTTAATCAGGTTCTTTCTCATTTCCCTTAAACCCATCCTCAGTTATCCATGACAAATGTTTTTGGCCCTATACCAGTTGAGACAAATTAGTGTCAACCATATTCAGACAAGTCAAATATAAGCCAAATTATTATGATTCCCTTACCTTGTAGATTTTGCTGATGGAGGAATTAATCAAATTGAGATGTTGTTTAGATGTAACTATTTAGCATTAGTTGGGGGTGGTAAAAATCCAAAATATCCTCCTAATAAGGGTAAGTTTTAATTGTAAGCTTATGGATTCTTTGAAAATTATTACTTTTTTGATTGGTATATTCCAGGATAATATCTGTTTCTGCCAGTGATGCAGAGAGCTGGCTGATATAGAAAAGTCGTTCAGTCATACAATAAACTGAGGCCTTTGGTGCTACATGATGTGCATGTTAATGATTTTACAGTTGAAAATCAAAAAAAAGTAGGATTATGCACACTGCATGGTGTTTCCAATCTTAATTAGTCAATACAGGTCTATGAAAGTAGGAAGTAAAACTCCATTCATTTCATTCCATATATTTTTGAAATGGTATATGCTTTAAGCCTCTTGTTAGTAATAATTTTAAAATGTGATAAGGATTGCTGTAATTCAGCTCTGTCTGTAAGTTGGTGTAGCAAATATTTAGACTTAACATCTTTGATTATATTTCAGTGATGGTATGGGATGATTTAAAAAAGAAACATGTGATAGAGCTAGAGTTTTCTTCTGATGTTTGTAGTGTTAGGTTAAGACGTGATAGAATAGTAGTCGCTTTAGATACAATGATCAAAGTTTATACTTTTACCCAAAACCCACAGCAATTACATGTTTTTGAAACAGGACAAAATCCAAAAGGTAAGTTAGACATGTTAACCACTTTTTTTTCCTCTTGGACCTGTCGTCTTCTGTCATCTTATTGTTTAGTTCATCAAAACAAGACCGAGGGGTTTTCATTCAATTTACTGTGGATTTAAATAGATTTTTGTCTCATGTCATAAATATCTCAAACAATTACTTGGCTTTATCTATTACATGTATATATGAATTTAAAAAACTGATATTGTAGGTCTATGTGTTATGTGTCCCAATAGCAGTAATTCCTTCCTATCCTATCCTGGTAGAAAACCAGGTCATGTTCAAGTTGTAGACTTAGCAGACACAGAAAAATCACCTTTAGATATACCAGCCCATGAGGCACCATTAAGTTGTATGGCAATGAACTTACAAGGCACAAGATTAGCCACAGCCTCAGAGAAGGGCACCCTTATCAGAGTATTTGATACCTGTACTGGCACACAATTACACGAGTTAAGAAGAGGAGCAAATAGTGCAAATATTTATTGGTAAGCCACATTATGTTTTATAACTTGTTAACAGGATGCTATTTTTCTGATCAATTGGTCATCAGAATATCTAGTAGGGCAAATCACAGGCTCAAATGACATTTTGTTTGATGAAAATAGTAGTCCACTTTTACATTGTATTTCATTTATCAAAGGGAAAATCATTAGTAATTAGTCAAATTGATAAGATTTATAGAAGAATTTCATTCAATTGAAAAACAAATTATTTTGCAATTTTTATGAGATTTTCATTGTTATTTTTGTATTATTTCAGTATAAATTTTAGCCACGATTCATCATTGTTATGTGTATCCAGTGATCATGGTACTGTTCATATTTTTTCTACAGAAGATCCCAAGAAAAATAAGCAATCTAGGTGATAAGAGTCTAAGAAGTTTATATTAGTTTTTATCCTGCAATAAGTAACCTGGCAAGTGTCACTAATATAATGAGGAATGTCTATCCATGCCAAGCTGATAAAAATTCTGATCTTGATGGCAAATTGATCACATGCTCGAAAGAAATACATTTTGCATTTTATACAGGTGGTACCCATACAATATACCTGTGGCACACTGCACTGTTTTCCTCAACTATTCATTTTCTTACCAAAACAAACGCTGATGTCATTTTTCCTTGTCATTTTCTTTCAGCCACTTCAAATAATTTTTTTTTTTTCAGTCTAGCCTCAGCGAGTTTTCTTCCGAAATATTTTAGCTCAAAATGGAGTTTTTCCAAATTTCAAGTCCCTGGTGGCTCTCAGTGTATTTGTGCCTTTGGTTCTGAACCAAACTCTGTCATAGGTAAGGTCTTTTGAATATTCAAGAATATAATCGTCCTGCAGCTTACCAAATGAACAGCGAAAACATTTTGTCCTTAATATTGATGCATATTGAACATACAATATTTTCAATAATTCACATGATCTGATCAAGAAATTAAGTATTCTAAGCAGATTTTTTAGTTGATACAAAAACACCATTACGGAAAGTATACTGGTATATATATTAAAAAGATAATCATCCATTCTTTTTATGAAAACATTTATGTATTTAAATATTTTCTTCTCCATTTCAGTGGTTTGTGCAGATGGTAGTTATTATAAGTTTTTATTTAATCAGAAAGGAGAATGTACAAGAGATGTGTACGCTCAGTTTTTAGAAATGACAGATGACAGATCATAAAGTTTTAATGGCGGAAAACTTAATTAAGTATTCCACCAAGTAGTGCTATAGTATTCTGTTTTAATCAAGAACTGAAATATCTAACAGACACATTTTAAAAAAGCAAAAAGTTATCAAAATATAGCTCCAGATCATGTACATGAACCAATAATGTTCAATTTAGCCTGACATACCTGGTTTGAAATTTCTTTTTAAGAATAATAATTATTATTGTGGTCCACAGAATTGAGGATTTTGGCTAATTAGTCGTCTTTTTTAAGAATATAAAATTTCCGGTGAGAATTTCTAGAATTTCAAATCTAAATGATTTGAAATGAAAAAAAACCAAAGAGATTGTTAATATTTACAGTTGCTGGCATTCCACAAAATTATTTGTTTTCTGTGTAGTCCAAAACATACCACCTATTGAATGCCTCCATAACCTAGTTATGACAGAGGTTGCATTTATTTAGTAATTAAAGGTACCGGATGTCTTTGGCAATACCTGCTTAGGACAATGTTTTTTATTGAATTGTAGACAAACCATTAGTCACATTTTTACTCCGAAAAGCTGTAACTGTTTGTCAAGCAAATATATCATAAACTGTATTGGTTAGTTAAAGATTAAAATTAAAAATTGTATAATTGTGAGGTCCTTTTCTTAACCAGTTTAAGAAATCATTATATTGTGATTTTGTTAGCTGTCTCAGTTCCATTTCTAAACTTTCCCATACAGGGTTTCAAGAGCAAGCCAATTCAGTAAACTGTGGTGTTCATCTGATAAGTCAATTTTTTTTTCAATATTGCATGAATTTATAATCAGGATAACTGTATTTTTGGCATGTGACTTTGACTTTTAATTTGTTTAAAAGTACTAACAATCTAAACTGGGAAGCAAAATCCAAAATAAGAGTTTGGCAACTGGTATCAGTTCAAAGTGGTATCAGGTGTCTAGAAGAGTAAGTATTCCTGAAGTCCATTACAACTTAAGATTTTGAATTGAGACAGCAGTTGATTGTATAAATTGTTTATAATAAACTATTTGTATATTTTATTTGTACATATATAGTTGTATAATGTATATATATATATGATTTGTTATGATAGTCATATCTTTCAATGAAACATTGCAAATAATAATCAAACTAAGAAAGCTTGTATATCCTCCACAAATATCTTTATATCACTCATACACTGTTATTGCATTCATGGTTATATAAATAACTATAATATCATACAAAATTGGATTTTGATGATCCCTTGAAAACTGATATGTTCATTATCAACATTATAATTTTCAATGGTGAAAATATATTGAAACTTGCACCTTGTACCAAAAAGAATTCATTAAAACAAGGATTGTATACTCTACTGACATAAATTATTGCATACATTTCTTTAAGATCAAAAGCAAAAGTTATTTTTGTCATTTGCATCATTGTAAATTCCTATAGTAAAGTACCCCTTCATTCCGACCATGTCTCAAATTACTTAGATTAAATGCTCATGGTTTTATTTTGGATGGCATTTGTTTAAAAGGTTTCATATCAATTGAACATTTAGAATTTGTTAGTTTTAATAAAACCTCATGTGACACATTGTTAAATTCGTATTCACAAATTATTTTAGTTAAGTATAAAACATATTAATTGAAACTAAAATCAAACAATGAATATATATGAATTTGTTTATGATTATTGTCATGTGTAATAAACAATGTAAATGTGTAATAATTTATATAATAAATTATCAGCCATAAGTGTGTTCATGTGTTAAAGGTTCTTTTTTAGCTTATGGGATATTGTCCCTAAAATTGTCCATATTCATGAACTCCGAACGGTGGTACAATCTTTTGGTACAATCTTTCTGAGCTCAGGGCAACAATGGTTTGAAAGGAGTGTTAAGGTAAAGTTTAGCTATTGATGGATTAAAAGTTTAAAGATCACTTAAATTTAATGAAAAGTGTGATTAAAGTCCTTTGATATATTGAATAGTGTTAATTCCTTTAAATTATTGAACAGTGGAAATTAATTATCTCCATAAATGATCAAACGAAGCCCTAAACTTCATTAATTGTTAATTTGTAATAGATTATGATATTTCCTTGGCTGGAGTGACAGAATAAAGGGGACAATTCAACAATGTAGCTGCTGAGATGATGTATTAAGGTTGATTTATACTTCTGACACCGTCAACCGCTATTAAGGTGGATGTATACTTCTGACGGTGTCAACCACTGTAATACGCAAGCAAACGTTACACCGTCAGCTACCGTGCGCTAGCGTCATTATCCAAGTGTAAACACACGCTCGCATGCGCCAACCTATTTTCAAGATTTCTTTGTCTCGATAGAATTGTAGAGTTTGTGTATTAGGAATTATGAGGTGTTCAACTTACCCGTGTTACGACTAGCCCCGATCTCCCCTGATAACATTAGGCTTCAATAAACGCTTAAAACCCTTTTTGATAACATTATGCCTCAATAAATGCGGACAAATTTATCTGATATCATTGTGCCTCAATAAACACTAAAAACTTTATCTGATATCGTTATGCCACTATTAGTGAAGGCATATTTGTCATGAAATATAGTTTCGTCTATTTTTATTATTATTGTTCTATTTTTCTTTTTTTTCTTTGGTTAAAAGCAAAAACTCGCTTATCTATTAGGGGGTCTCCTAAGACAATTCAAGTCCCGCGTCACAGTGAATCCCCCAGAGAAGCTAACTTTTTTTTAAATTTGAAGACTGAATTTGCGCGATTTTCGTGTGCTTGGATTTAATACTACTTGCATCAATATTGTTCCCTATATACAACACAATATCAGTTTCAACTATATGCCTGTATCGTGGGTTTACGGGACGTGTGGACGTTCTACATCGATCTGTTGCCAACAAATGGATTCGAAGTATACCAGTATATATATTGCTAACTATTGTGTAATAATCTGAAATCGAATATTCTGAGGCTTTGAGTCATTTCGCCTGTGTGAGACTTCCCGAAAATTCAGAAATTCTCTTGAAGGCACTAAGTCTTTGCAGCTTATCATTATCATTTTTTCAGGGAATTGATGGGGTAGGCTAACAGCATTTCAGATGTATTTAAAATGATTAAAATGGCATCTTTTTGGTTTCTGAAAAACCATATAAATTGTTAACTGCGAGGTATACAATGTTGTTGTTAATGATACAAGTACAAATGAGTTGAAAACTGCAATATCTCGTGCAATGTTTCAGTGAAGAGAAATATCGGGATATATAGCACTGTAGATTCTGCCATTTGCTACCAGTCTTTGAAATCCAGATTGTTATGGACAAAAGTTAACCAAGGTCTGATACATAATGGGCTGTATGCAGCGCTCGTACTTTGACTAATGTTAAGTTTTGACTAAAATAGGACTTAATCTTAGCCTTTTTTGATATGCACAGCTTCTTCTATAGCCAAACGTGTCACTCATATCACTTTCATTTGCGCTATAATATAGTACGCAATTTTGGGGAGTTTAATTTAGTCTTGAATATATATGTAAAAAATCTGCAGAAGTACTAGACATGTTAAAAAATTCCATAATTCTTTTAAAAAATACTTCAAAATAGGAATTTTACTAACTATTTCTATATATATCTTTCTATATCTCACAGAATATTTTAAAATGACGAAATAAATTAAATGGCCCAGCATACTTATCAAAAGTTGTAACACGTTTAGAATATAAATAGTTGGATTGCAGCGTAGATGTATCATGATCTCCTATACGCTGCTTTTTAAAAACAATACCTATCCATAATTGAATTTTGTATCATTTAAAACATTCAAATAAACAGTTCTGTGAGCAACCGTGTGTTGGTGAAGGTCTATTAAACGGATTAATTGATCTATAGAATTCTCCATTTCGTGTATAAAACCAGTAAAGTTTAGCTACTACCTTCTGAGCCAACTTAAGTAAAACGTTTAGGGATTGTAAAGAGGTTTACTTAATTTTTTTATGTGTATCGTGGATAATGATACCATTATTTTGCCCCATTCCAATTTTCAATCAGACGTCGATGGTTCATAAAATTCCACTAAGACTACGTGACGCCACTAATCCAACAATATGCCTATATATCACAATATAAGGCCTTCGCGATTAGTGACATCATCAAACATTGAGTTTTAGTGGAATTGCAGGAACCACAGATGTCTGATTGAAAATTGGAATGGTGCCAAATGGTGCTATCAGTGTCCCCGATACACATAATTTTTTAGAAAACCTCTTTACGATCCCTTTAAATCACACTAATGTCAAAGAAAGTATAGGTTATAAGTACGGGCTCTGAGTACGTGTCAATAGATTGAGGAAGCAACAACTTTTCATTTTCTTCAGTTAAAATGAAAGATTACAGTATATTTACTGGAGAAAAGAGGACGTTTGGAATGGTAGATTATGTACTTTTGGGAATTTCTGTTCTGGTTTCAATGTGTATTGGACTGTATTTTGCCGTGAAGGATCGCAAAGCGAAAAATGCTGCTGGATATTTGATGGGTAATAGAAATTTACCAATGATACCCGTTGCAATGTCCTTGATGGTCACTCAACTGTCGGCAATTGGTATTTTGGGAGTTCCAGCTGAAATTTACAATTACAACACAGTCTATTGGTGGATTTGTGGTGGATATATTATTGGAATGATAGCATCAACATTTCTGTTCATGCCAGTTTTCTACAGGCTCAAGATTTTGAGCATTTATGAAGTAAGCATGATTTACTGTAATTATATAAGAAAAATACACCCGAACAATACACTTGTCACGAACAAACATTTTTAAAGTTTTCAAACGTCTGTTTTGTCATTTCGAGGCTATTGGGGATGGTAACTGAGTTCTATTGGAAATTTCTTTAATATACTTGGAATCCCCATCGTTTATAAGAAAATTGACACAGCATCATTTGCATTTCCAGTTGAAATGGAAGGTATTCTAGTGTAGAATGTCAGAAAAACTGGGTTAAAAAAATTATCGTCTCCTATGCCAATTTGTCTGTAAATCGAAATGATAACTAACGAATATTTAAAAAGTCATTTCCCCAAAGTTGAAACTTTTCAAATGACTTTGTTTTATTCTGAACAGTATCTGGAGATGAGGTTCAGCAAGAGTGTCCGGGTTATGGCGTCGTTGTCATTCATTTTATCATCGGTTCGTCTTTTTTATTCAAGTCTAATTTCGTTTTAGATCTTTACCAGTGTATTAATCTGCACTTTTAAAATGGGTTAATGCACGTTTAACGCAAGTTGAAAGATCATCGGTGATAAGTCACATTATTTTGTAAAGTGACATTATGTTTTGTATGTCGAACGAATTTTTTGCTCAATTTTACCAAACTATCAAACATTGATATAAAGAACAATGTGTCCCTTGACGTATCTAAAACTCTAAAATTTTACAAACAAAACGAATTAAAATTTACAAGAGCTCTCTAAGTTTGTTATGCTTTTGGAAGGTGTTACATAGCTACTTTATACGGATTTAAACGAAAAAATATAATATTTTAGAATATATTCTCAGGTATAATTTACGACGTTTTTTTTATGATAAAATTTTTGCCTTTGCCTCTTTAAGCAAGCGTCCCAATAAAACCAATGGCAGCGGTGTAGATCCGATTTGTTCTTCATTGATGTATAGGCTGAACTTAAAAATACATGTAGCTAGATTGCTTTGATTTATTAATTAGTTGTACCTTACTAACAACTACATATATTGTTTTTGTTTTACTACCTCAAATTTAATATTTCCATGTTTTGTTTTCAGTTAATTTACTGTGGAATTGTATTATACGCACCATCCATAGCATTAACTACAGGTAATGTAGCAGAATAAACTACCCTATGATAATTATGTTAATACATGTATTCAACTGCAATTCTTTACGGCAAATAACCACATTGTTAGGCAAATACTGTATTCTGTTAGGTTTAAGACCAAAATTTTGATAGACTATCAGAGATATTAAGTTGCAATCTGCACTGAAGGTACACACTCATCTGAAGACTGTGTGTCAAATTTCAAATACCTACCTTGCAAACTCTGTCTGCTACGGCATTTTTAGTTTCAGACTTTACCCCAAACCAAAATATAATAATGCGATTCTCTCTTGAAAATAATGAAATGAAACTTCAATGTCGATTTTCTTGAAAGTTTGAAAAAATTCCAATTTCTGTTTTCGACTGAAATAATGTCAATAGAAACAAAACATACATCTGGGGTCTGGCCAAGTTATGGCTATTTCAGTTTGGGGTGCGGTCGGCATTTAGCCTTTGCAATCTAGTTGCACAGGTTGGGAATTCTAGATAGTAACATTGCGGCTTAGTATTGTTTTGGAGCTACTGTTTACAAACTATCAGAGATGTAAAGTTGCAATTTGCACCTAAAGTACACACGCATCTGGAGTTGCTATGTTCCCAATTGAAAATAAGGGTGTAACTTCAAAGTCGATTTCCTCGAAATGTTAAGCTTTCATTAGAAACAAAAATTATACATCTTGGGTCAAAATTGGCCGAGTTGAGACTATTTTAGTTTGGGGGTGGGGTAAAATATCTTTAGGATAAAAATATTTTCATTGACAACTTTGGTGTTATATTAGTTGAAATTTCTAGATTGTCGAATGTTTTATTTCAGTTACTGGTGTAAATCTTTGGGGCTTAGTTTTAACCATTATAACTGTCGCTACTTTATATACTGCCCTTGTAAGTTGATATCTTAGACATAGTACTTATCTTTACTTTTTAAATATTGCTGTGAATACCCTTATATAGTTATAATGCTTACCTTAAAGGGGGGTTAGTCATAACGTATTTGTTTTACTATAGTTCGATTTCAGCTGTCCATACAACACACGACACTTCCTTTGGGAATAGCTCACTCCCAAATATTTATTTTCACAAGGGTGGTATGAAAGCTGTGATCTGGACTGACACTTTCCAAGCTGTAACAATAATAGCTGGTCTGTTGGCGATATTGATACAAGGAGCAACTGTTTCAGGAGGGTTTGCCGAGGCATGGAGAAAAGCAGAGGACCGTGGAAGAGTTTTGTATTACGAGTAAGTTATATGCAATTATCTATCTTATCTTGTACCATTCTCAAAGTTTTTTCTCATTCTACTATTCTTCATCGAATAAGTGTCTTCTATGCATCAGCGAAAACTGATAAAATTTCTAAGATACTCATAAGTAACCAAAGTCTTTGGGTAATGAGTTGTCATGGATATAAAGTACCATGGTGTTTAATACTAGCTATTTTGACACTCCGACGAACTTGACAAACAAAGTTACAAGGTGCTCTAGATCTATTGCTTCGCTATCGCCAATCGCCACAAGAATTTATTTAGTGTCGTGTCATCAAAGCAATCAATGTTTAAATTGAATTTATACTAATGTAGTTTCAACCCAGATCCAACCACAAGACATACTGTCTGGTGTCTAGTTATTGGTGGAGGTATTTACTGGACCTGTATGTTTGGTCTACACCAAGCCCAGATACAACGTGTAACAGCTTGTAAATCATTAGTTGTAGCTAAAAGGTAGGAGTAAAATTGATACAAACTAGAATTCGATTATGTAATTATCTAGGTATGTCCAGACGAGGGTCTTGAAAACTCTTTAAGAACTTTCCAGAAAAGTACACATATTTATTTTGATAGTTCAACAATTCTTAAAATTAATTGGCACTATTGCTAGGAATCGTGATAAATTCAGACCAGCAGTGTAAATGGTAGTGGTAAATTTTATTCCAGGTCATTAATTATAGCATACCTTGCATTTATTGCCATTGTATGTTTACAATGTATGATAGGAATTGTCATGTTCGCATTCTATAGTGATTGTTATCCGGTAGATTTTATGAATCTTGTGTCAAAGTCAGATCAGGTAAGTTACTAATTTTAATGATTAATGTTTTATGTTGCAGTAATCAGAATTAAATTTTCAATGAGAAATGAGCAATGCGTTTTCAATTACATGTACAAGTAATTTATATACTCTGTTTTCAGTACAGAATAAGGCATACATGGCTTTAAAAGCATGCATTTCATACAATATATTTCCAGATATTGCCGTTATTTGTAATGGATATTTTAGGAAAGATTAAAGGGGTACCAGGGTTGTTTATATCTTGTTTGGTCAGTGGAAGTTTAAGGTATTGTCAAAATACTTAACCTCATGATTGAAAATATATATAGAAAGGAAAGAAAAACATCATTTACGTATATGAGCAGAAATCAATTGACATAAGATTATATTTCAAATGATTTATGGTATATCGGCGACAGATGATTGAACATAAATTGATTCTATAATAGGTCATGCATCTTAATGAAGAGTGTGATAGTAATGATTGCAAGTCTGTAAGCGAATTTGATCAAACCTAATACCCATTTTCGATTCTTGTCAACTTAAAATCGGAAGATTTAAACTTTTAACGGCATTTCTTATTCCATTCAGTTCATTATCTTCATCAATGAATGCAGTACCAGCTATAATATATCAAGACTTTATAAAGCCAGTTTATCCTAATTTATCGGAGAAAAGATCTGTAATATTGGCAAAAGTAATAGGTAAATTATTTCTTTATTTTCTTGCCTTTCTTTTTTATTAATTCGTATATGTAACGGGCCGTGATCATTTTAATTCCTATATTGAAATACCTCTGCGAAGTACACTGAAGGATGTGACTCACCTTTATAAGGACATATAGAGCGTAGTTTTTACATAAATTTTCTCCATCTATTTGACAAATATTACCAGTACGAAATGTTTGTTGCTTATTTCCTCTTATGTGTTTGGTAAAAAAAAAAGGACATTCCGCGAACTCTTATGATGTAAATGTCTTTTTCAGTTTTGGTTTATGGGGTGTGTTGTTTTGCATTTGCTTATCTTGTATCTCAACTAGGCTCAGTCCTTCAGGTATACTATTTCAAAAAGCCTCAAGTATCTTAACAATCTAAAATTTAATCGTTCATTATCTTGATATCTTTTTTTTAATTGCATGATTTGTCAACTGAACATTAACAGTGTTTGTCGAATTCTATTAACGACTTTATTGGCTGAAGACAAGGCATTCTTGGTCACTTAAACCCCTACTTTGGTGTACTATAGCCAATTCAACAACAATCCCTTCTAAGATGCTGTGATTTACTGCATTTGTGTTGAGCATTCCACTGATACCGAAAATGTACTCCTCTATTGAAGGTTACCTACACTCTGCTGATTGTTACAATAGCTCCTATGTATGGTTTTTTCTATGTTGGAATGTTGTTTCCCTGGGTAAATAACAAGGTGAGTTAAGGGGTCTCGGGTCAAATGATGATTTACAGTATCGCATAGTCGATAACGTGCTCGACTAGCAACAGTGATCATCTGGATGGTCCCAAAGTCCCAAATCATGACAATCCAGTATAAACATTTTTAAAGCTCTAATGTGATTTTTCATAAATCCACTAAAGCTTTAATTTCAGGGAGCTATAGTAGGCTGTTTTGTAAGCTTTGCGTCTATCAGTTGGGTAGCAATTGGTTCTTACATAAACAAAGTAAAATCGCCAACATCGTCTATGAGTACTGCGGGTTGTAACTGGAATCTAACAGAATTTAACATGACGTCAACAGTTGCAGCTGTTAATACTTCTGGTATTGTGGATGATTCAATGAACTCCAGGTCAGTTAGTTTAGGAATATAGTCCAGAATTATTTGCTTTACCATGATAAAGCTCAACACCAGCTGTTTCCAGAATTATAATTCCATGCCGTGTTTTCCGGATATTTCAACAGAAACGTACCGTTTTGACTATAATCCACTTCCACGAATGGTATAGTCGATGACGCCATATCAAAAAGAAAATCTGCACTCGAGAATGTTAATAACATTCCGAAATTCATGATTGTCTGAACGTCTGATGTGGCCATAAGTGCACCAATTATTATTAGTCATTAAAAAAGTAAAGCTGCAATACATGCAATATGGGAACAATTTCAACCCATTCTTCAATTTTTATGTTTTTATTTCAGCAAAATTTATTTAGACCTCTATAATCTGTCTTATATGTGGTATGGACCTTTTACTATAGTTATACAAATAACAGTTAGTCTGCTTGTTAGTTTCTGTACAGGTCAGTACCGGGTGCCAGGTCAGCCATTAAACCGGGTGTCTGATGATGCCAAATGTTATTTGTAATTTCAGGTTCTGAAATCATGTTGGGCATCTTGTACAACAGTGTGTTTTATAGTTTAAAATACTTTTGACGCTGTTTCTGTATTTCATCCCATGACTAAAAAAGTAAATGAACTATCCAATAGTAGTCTGATATTCCCAGACTTAAACTTTTCCTTTTTGAAGCCGTAATAGTCAGTTTATAACTGCTGTGAAATGATGCTTCCATGATTATTTTTTTTAAAGGATACACCAAGCCATCAAATCTAAATCCACTGTTATTTTGTGATCTTTATGGAATTTTGTTCCCATGGCTTCCAAAGCCAGTTCTGAAGTTGTTAAGATTCGGTGTGTCCGATGGAGAGGTATTTTATTTATTTTTATTTAGCAGTCGAGTAGAGATATATTTGTTTACTATAGTCTCGAGATCAATGCAGTAAAATGCAATCGAATTGTGATCTGTGGGGCCCAGTGCTCCTTAATTAATGCTTAATTCTTGTGTATTACTATTACATTTACTAACCTTAATTTTACCCCCTGGCCTTGTCAGTCCAGTCATTCAGCCGTTATTCTCAAATGAAAGGAAAGGAACTGCTTTAAAGAAAGAATCCTTTGAAGTTCGGTAGAATATGAAGGTTTCTTCACTGCCTGTTACCACATTGATATTCTCTAAGAATAAATCTTGCGTGTATCAATTCCCACTTAATACCTAGATCTTTCTACTCCTATACCAGACATATTACATTTACATTTTCAGGATTTCGATAAAGATAAGAATAGAACTAACATGGGGCGTGAAACAGAGAATTTTCAATTAGTTGATAAAGCCCCAGTAACACATAAAGACAACTTTTTTAGGGATAAAGACAAACTATAGTTATTATACAAATTATAGGCAGTTTATTTGAAAAGACATGGAAGTGATTGTTATAATATTGCAAGTCCTTCGGCCTAAGGACAAATATAACATACAATTAATATTACATAGTCTGCCAGTGTAAGAAACTTGAAGATTCCGGTATATTATTGCAGTATTTATTTCAGCTTAATCATGTAATAAAACATAATATACCAATAGGCAGGTAACACATATTGTAGGAATACAGTTTTGCAGCACTGGCGTCGTCCGATTATTATTATGATTTAGTATTGTTTATTTCCTCATTTCAAGAACAATCGGTGGTGGTGCATATTATATAAATACATCCGAGACACTGTAAATTTGTATTCATTTTATTGTAGTCCGACGCCATAGTGTAATAATAGAGTTACGCACCTTTACCTATATATCATAGCGTGAAGGTCCGTCCTAATAGTGAGGAACCTTTTAGTGTTTAGATTTTTCCAATTTCATGGGAAGTAACATGTACCAAAATTATCACTTTATTTCAAATAAAGGTCAAAAAGAATATTTTACGGAAAATAAACTGTACTTCATCTTCCTTTTTATACTAAAATGTTCATTGCCAATTGCCAATCCAGATTCATTAGCCCAGAACCAGAAATAGACAAGCTTGTGTAATGATCTTCATTATGTTTCCCCGACCTTGACTGTAGCAGTGAAGACACAATCATATCTATATTACCGTGCCCAAATAGAAATCCAGGAAACCAAGAAATTTCTTCAGGGGTTATGCATGCTAAACATGTACTAAAGCTGCCTTGGTTTGGTAGGCTAGTTTATTATCAGATCATTAATCTCGAATGCATTTAGGGACCACTCTTTCTACAGTCTTCTCATGTTGGGGTGTCAACATGAACACAAGTTTCATACTTTGCTTATACAATGACATAACATTTGGGAAATGTTGGAGCTCTGGCCTGAAATTGACACAACAGGTCTCAACACTTAATCCCTGTATCGCTGAGCATTCGGGTTTCCTTGGATGATAACCAGCCACAATTGCCACTCCATACCATGTCATAAAGCTCTAACTAACAACAGCCAGTGGTTGTTTTATGTCGGTGTTAGCTTGGAACTAACACCAACCCACAACAGTCTCCAAATTACAGGGGACATAATTATATCGTATGTCCTGTGGGTCTTAGTTTCAGGTCTTATCGACACGATTTTTTGGACGTTTTGGCACTAATCTCCATGATTCTATTTGGAGGCTTCTATGAGTAACATATCAATCGTCGGATTGACTTGAGCTTAGTGTACCAACGAAAGCAAAAATGATTGGTATGGTAATTTCTAGTAGAAAATTGTATTCTGAGCATTTGGAATCCATGATCATCATCAGCTATCTGTTATTGTCGTCTGCGACGGAAGTTTTGAATCGCTGGAGCCCGCCTTAAAAAATCTGATCAGGTAGGGATTGTTTCAGGGTGGTCGAAAAAGATTTTTATTACATAAAATATTATATTATATATTATATATTTATTATGTATAATATACATGAATATATGTCTGGAAAGACATAAAGAGAGAGATTATCTGAATCGGTGGGCATGTCTAACAGTATTGATTTTACTCGTTTCCTTGTAAGCATCTTGGTTCATTTAAACGACTTTTCATAAACACAGTTAAATGTTCCCATAGAAAATTTTATGATTTATTGTTAAAGGTCACATTCCAATTTTTCTCAGACATGGAAATATATTGATTAGTTTCATGTAGTCATTAACTTTTCTTTCAATTTCTTCATGTTATTTCATTCTTTTTTCTCTTGAGAGAAATTTATTTGATTTAAATAAGTCTGAATTCTATTCCTATTTTGGTTTGGTACTGATAGACATGAGGATTGCCCATTCTTTGTTTAAGTTATTTCGATAGATAGCCAACGAGTGACATTTGGCTCAATATTCAACGGTGTTTCCATGTATTTACTGATAATGAGTTAGGAAACACAGCAATTCAAAGAATACCTCTTTGTTATCTTTTGAGCAATGTATTCCTTGAAATTAGATCAAACCATTGCTAATGAAACCCATCGCCATTTAGAACAAATGTCGTTTTAAAAGCAACACGATTAAGTGAAATCTAGAATCAGAAAAGAATTGAACTTTGTCCTGTGAATTATATTTATTCACCCTACCTTAAGTATCCCAGAATCACACAAAAACAGCTTGATTTTACATATTTACCTGATTTTCTCATTGTTATTTCATTATATTTATGAAAATCTGAAGAAAATGATTGGGATTTAAAATTACTTTAACTTTGATAAAATATTTGCTTTCCGCTATATTATTTTTGAGTATCCACTGTATAAGACAGCTATATGCTTATTTCCTTAGCAACTCTGGAATTGGTCACTGATATTTTTGATATCCCAATGACCGGTATGGCCGGTTGGGGAAAGATCATTTAACTAACCAGTAGTTGCTAATGGACCGTGGATTAGAAGCTAATGGCTACCTAATATTGTTATGTGATCATCACTCTAATTTCTTCTTTTAATTTAACCTAACCCATGCAACGTTGTTTCAAGTGCGATTAAGAAACGCGACATATTAGATAAGTAGTATTTTAAGATTCTGAGACTACAGTGCGGTCATTTCGATCAATAACAGTTTTCTGTATTCCGATGTCTAACATTAATTGACATAAAATCAGTTATTATATGATTTTAGAATCGGCTTATTCTAATCGAAATAAATGGTTGTTCCTAGTTAGTTTATTGAATTTCCATTGTTAATGATTGATATTTGAGCCATATAGCTATTGTATAATTAGACCTAGATATCTAGAACCTATTAATTGTCTGATATTGTATATCCCATAATATAGTCTTCTTAACAATTTCCCAGACTAAATATTGGCTGTAGACTCAAATCAGGGCTTTAGACCAGGAATCCGTAGCAAAATATTGATATATTCCATGTCTTTAACAAATGGAAACTTTTATCACTTTTAACACAAAGAGTGTGCGTCATTTCGGATAACGAAGATATTAATCGTCATAACTTGTACATAGAGGCTACTGTGCAAACACTGTGACGTTTCCAATTTCTAGCTGTCGAAAGATCTTTTGAGTGCCCATTCTACACCTCGCCCTTCATTACTTAACATAAAACTCCATTCATTTCATTTCATTATTTAACAAGCATGCCAACTTTCCAAGTGTTATAACAACCAATTAAAAGGTGCAATTCCTTTTATATATTCGCTGAAAAGGGTGATTTTGTAATGCTGAACGCACAAGTTTTAACCTTGCCATTTATTTTCTGATTATCAATGCATTCGAAATTTCATTAAATAGGTTGAAAACTGTAGTTACGACAATTTTCTGAAAAAAAATGAGAACTGGCATGATGTAGATAATATTGGGCCATACATGCACACAGATAGACAGCGTTTGATACAATACAAAATATCTATACCTTCCACAGGAATTGTGAACTACTTTTACATTAAACTCGTGGAAAACAAAACCCCCTTCTTGACGACTTATCAGTCTTAATTTTCCTTCAAGTTATAAATAAGAAAACGGATTAGATTCAAATCCATTTCAAGTAACCTTAAGCTTAGATAACCCCGTTAAAGCAAGGGATACTGAATAATGGTCGTGGATCAATTCCAAGAAACTTAGTAACCAATGCCCTGGGAATATAAGCATTAACAGACATATTCCTTTTCTATAAACTTCATAGAACTATTTAGAAAGAGACGGTGCTAATCGCATTTCGTTAACAAATTTCATTGTCAGTTTTTCAAGATAATTTGCCACCATAAATAAGAATGAAGAAGGGTTAATTCAATATTAACAATGATTTAAGATGTCTGGGTATTTATTCACTAGGTTTATAAGGATTACCTTCTTCAGACGAAACTAATGTACTGTTGATGAAGATTTTCTCATCAATTTAATATCTGGAACTAGGTTATTTTTCATGATGATGGGACATTCTACTCTATCACCATAATGTTTTTCCCTTCGGATGATATATGCATCTCTGAGTTTCGTATTCTTAAATTAATCATGATGGACTTCGAAAGAGATGGCTGGGGACATCAGAAGTTCGGGAATAGTGGTCATGAAAATATCTGAAATATTCTACATTTACTACAAATTTTT